GAATATTTAGATTTATTGTGGGTATCATTTTTTTATTAAAAAAACTATACTCAGAAAATCATGTCCCCAGTTTTCATGTCACTACCGAAACACAAGAGGCGCGTTCACACCGCAGTACTTTTCCCACGTTAGTTCCGATATAGTTCCGAAATGTCGCGTTCACACCAAAAAGAGCCGGAACTAAAATTAGTTCATGAGAACCTTTTTACCCCCTTTTCCGTCAGTTTTCCGTCCCTGCTAGAGAGCAGGTACTTTCGTGGGAGAAAAAGGTTCCTATGTCTGATTGGCTGGGCGGAATGCAAACCACACCCCGTAAAACTCCCAAAAAGTTTTGTGAAGCCGCCATTTTATTATCCTCGCATTAGCATTATTAGCATTAGCATTAGCCCAGCGCAGAAACGCAGAGAGACTAACTTATGGCAACACAAAAGAAAACATGGGAGCGGTGGAGATGAGGAGGTGTCGGCGTTCTGGCGATTTCCTCGGAAGGCTTCAGTCGAAGCTGCTGGGAGTCCAATGGCTGAGCCTGGTTTTTAGCCACACCCCTGCACTTTTGACTAGGCAGTGACACTGCATCCCTGTCCCTCATGGCTGAATCGCAAGTAGCTATATCCCATACTTTTGATATAAATCTGTTCCAAAATCCGAAAATCGGCTTGTAACCTTAAGAATTGTCACTACCGAACACATATTATCTTCAATTAAGTACACTTTTTCGGGGTTTTATGCAAAGTATTAGGTTTTTATGTGTGTAAACCTCTTCAAAAACGTGTATGCTAGCCATGTACTTGCTAGCATTTAGTTATGCTCAATTTTAGCTAGAATCGTCACTACTGAAACAGTCACTACCGAAACATATGGTTACGTTTCGGTAATTGACATGATCGTTTCGGTAGTGACAAAATGGAATGGTAAGTAGGTAAATCCCATAATTTTGAAATAAATGTGTTTTAAAGTCTGAAAATCAGTGTGTTACTTTAAAGGTCTCTTATTATACTATTTGTAGGCATATATTATAGAGTGGCGAAGTCACGCCCATCTACTTCCGGTCCATGGGACCTTATTTCGGAAAAATTATGTATTGAAGTCAATGGAGAGAGAAAACTTATCTCTCAATCCCGTTTGAATTGTGCAATGAATTACACATATGATGTTTGTCAATCTTAAAAAATAATTTCCATGTCAAAAAAGTCACAGTTTGTCGTAAAACTGTTGAAATATAAGACTATAAAAAATACGCAACTAGAAAGACTACAAATCCCAGAGTCGCGTAAGTGATGTCACTCATAACTGATGTCACAATTGTTTTCCTCCACTAAAATAGAGATAGCTAAGATAAGATAACTTTAACAAGATGCCTGTGTGCTTAGTACCCAAATCTCTAAAAAAGGGGCTGCAACGGATCTGATAAAAACTGATCCAGATTTGAACACTGTCCTGATGTCAGGACGGTGGCGCTACGGCTATTGGGCCAACTCTCCACCTATCAGGGGAATGTGGGGTTGGGCCACAGCCGGCCATTGCCGCTCGAAAGCGCTGGAGACGCTGTAGTACATATGCCAGGCCTGTAAGTGGCGCTGTAGTCTGCCACAAAAGCAGCGAAGAAGACTTCCCGCGCATGGTTAGCATGGTTACCCTTCTGTTTATTCTCCGCTGTGGCTTTTTTTCTCCCTCCCCTAGGCAAGCGTTTGCTCCTGCTGCTTTAATTCAATGCAATCCCTCCCCGTCGAGGCAAGCACTGTAATTATCCCCGGTTAGTCCACCAGCAGATGACAAACACCCACCTCTCCGCCTCTTCCAAGGAACGAGGGGACCGTGCGGCAGAGTTTCAGTTAGGTTTTCTTTCGCCGGTCAAGATATCCGTTAAAGTTGAAATCTTCCGGACAAAATTAGAAAAGTGCCGGTCAAAGGTCTTGTTATTTATTGAGCTTTAAAACAAATGAATAATGACTCTATATAATAATAGGCTATAATAAAACACGGAGGACGGAGATCTATTTTTCTCCCCCTCTTCTGACTTGATCAGAGCGGCTCCCCTCTCCTGCAGGGGGGCGTGGTCAGCTGCAGCTCACAGAATCAGCCCCCTGCAAAAACAGGGCTGGAGAACAGCAAATAGAGCAAAATGAGGCATGGCTAAAATGCATGATCTGTTTGGTATTTTGAAAACAGAAACGTATAAATATTAGGGCTGTCAAGTTAACGCGTTAATAACGCGTTAACGCAAAAAAAAATTAACGCCACTAATTATTTTAACGCGATTAACGCATGTGTATTTTTTGTCCTCGGCCGCCGTAGTTTCAGAGCGCATCGAGTGTAAAATACCATCTACAAGCTGATGCTGACAGCCCCGCTCCTGCGGCCCGCTTGTGGCAGACCACACTTCCACGTTCACTGGCAGGCCCGGACTGGCCATCGGGAGGACCGGGAGGGAGTGTGTATGTGTGGCGCGACTCGCGCGAGCGAGGCACACCTTACGTGTTGTTGTTGTTAGCATCTGGTGCTAGCTAGCTGCGCTAACGGATATAAGGAGCTGTTTCAATGACATTTCGCCGACAACTGCGCCGAGCACTTGACTTTATGCAGGTAGCCAGACAGTGGGACATTGTACGAAAAGTCAGCACACTCAGCACGGATAGTACGCGCAACATTATTGCAGCGTCCAGGCAGCTCCCATTCGAGCATATATGCCTTGAGCTGCACATAGCTCAACGATCCATCACAGTGTCTCCACACACACACACACACACACACACACACACACACACACACACACACACACACACACACACACACAAACACACACACACACACACACACACACACACACACACACACACACACACCACACACACACACACACACCACACACACAGTATTATTGTATGAGAGAGGTTCCAGGTTGAATTGAGGCGAATATTTGTAATGTTCAGAGGTTGTTGTGTTTAATATTCATGAGAATATTTGTCATTGTTCAAATGATAATAAACAAACATATAAAGCATATTTGTCCACTCATATGTTGATAAGAGTATTAACAACTTGAAAGATATCCCTCTAAGGTACATTTAGAACAGATAAAAAATGTGCGATTAATTTGCGATTAATCGCGATTAACTATGGACAATCATGCGATTAATCGCGATTAAATATTTTAATCGACTGACAGCCCTAATAAATATACCTTATATAGGTATGGCCCTACAATATATCATTTAAATATAGCATGATAGGTCCACTTTAAGTAACCCAAAATGTTAAACAGTAAGAGTAGTAGTCATATTTCGTGAACCCTTTGAAGAGTACTGTCACACCGGTGTGATCATTCTATAATGGCGCAGTTCCACTACAGCGCGGAGCTCGCTTTAAGCGTGCCGTGTCGTGCCGTACCCGTTTTTGGTTGCGCTTCCACTAGGCCTAGTTACGTTAGTTAAAAAATTGTTACTTCACAGTTTTACGACACATTTTTTTTTCTTTGACTTGCAAAATTATCTTTTAAATTGACAAACATCATATGTTTAATTCGTGGCACAATTCAAACGGGATCGAAAGATAATCTTTCTCTCTCCATTGACTTCAATACATATTTTTTCCGAAATAAGGTCCCATGGAGGTCCACCGGAAGGGGAGGGAATTCGCCACTCTATAGGTCTCAGATATATAAAAAACATGTCTATGAAGTGTTTTGCTCAAAATACCAAACAGATCATGCATTCTAGCCTCATCCCCCTCTATTTCAGCCTGTTACTAAAGTGCTGATTCTGGGTCAGTAGCTTCAAACATTCACACTTCAACATAAGGCATGTTATGAGTTAAGATTAAGCAATACATTTGAGGGAATATGATACAACCTTGAGAACAAAATACCGAAACTACCGAAACACTGGATGTTTTGTAAAAAATAAAGTATATTGATTTATCAACTAAAATGATATGATACTGATTGGTTTAATGTATGTTCAATTTCAACAATCATCAACTCTGGAATCAATATGATCAGTATTATGTATTTTACAAAGAAAATTTGCATTATGATTTTTATGAATTGTATAAATTGAACTTTGAAATTTGATTACAAATTAAATTGCATTGATTTAATTGTGAAAACCCTCAAGAAATATTTATTAAAATACTATTTAGAGAAGGGAAGGTAAAACAATCTTAACAGGTTAATATAATACTTTTTTACTACTGTGTATGTAGGCTACTAGGTTTCGGTAGTGAACATTTTTGGTAGAGGAAGAACATTCCAATACAGTCTGAAAATACGATACGTACGGTTCTTTTACTAGATATGTGTAATTTAGATATGGTACAAAATATATATGGACAAAGTTTTGGGAAAAAAACATACATTTCAAAACTGTTCCAACCTGACTTTGCACCAATTCGGTAGAATGGCCCATATAGCCTACTGTACAGTATGCTTGTACTGCAGTTTATTTTATATTTTAATAAAGACCCATCAAAGGTGATTTAGCTGTTGTCCCAATACTTACTCTACTCTAGGCAGATTATCCAAAACCAAATGTTTAGCAGGCTATTTTGTGTCAAGATCCCATAACGTCTGCTGGCACGATACAAGAAGGTCTGGGAGAACAATCTAGACTATTTACGCTTCCCAACACTCAACATTAGTCTCTTTAACTACCCCAACAGGCCTTTACGGACGGTTATCCACCGTTTTACAAGGCTGTTGTGGTAACAGACGTGACAAACAAATGGCCTAGCGGGCTGTCTTATGGAAAGCAGGCAGGGCACAGTGGGGCTACAGTGACATTTTCCCCACATGCAAAATCATGCAAAAGGTAAATACTGAAGCGGAGGGATACAACCACTATTGCAGAACATGGCCGTCACCTCCGTCATGTCCTCTCGCAAAGACCAGCCCACTTTTGCGAAACTGCGCTCTGATTGGACGAAAGGCTCGCACGTCAGCTTCTTATTGGATTACCGACGGGTCAATCACGGGCTAATTTCAATGACGTCGATCGTACACTGGGTTCGCTGTATCGCCCGGGTGGACAGTATAGTTACTTCAACATTAAATGGAATACAATGCCGCGGATTCCTATACATAGAGACGTCACCTCAGCGTAATTAATTACTGCTTCGTAATTAAGACCTTAAGACATTAGGAGCACGTGTTGACTGGCCTATTTTCGAGTTTTTATCAGCAATATTTCAGGGTAAGTGGAGTGATACATTTCCTTCCTGCGTCTTTTCTCCTCGCACAGAAGCTGACCTGCTAGCTTTATAATTTAAATAAAGCAAAGTAATTATCCTAAGAATCACTGTATTGGTTTATATAACATATAGGAATAGTCAGTTTTTCAGTACTAAATGTACGTAATGTGATTTTAAAGTAGTGCGTGCTACAGCTTGCATAGTCGAGTTATATGGAGAGGAAGGTAATGGCTGTCGGTCGACTCGTAACTTGAACATTGTGAAATGGCCTGTTTAGAGTAGCTCGTCCTTTGCTCTGTGAATCATCCCCGGCTGTGGTGACTCAAACGAGGGTAAGCCTATTTGGTTTGTTAAAAATCAGGATATGATAGTGGTATTGGCTTCCAACCTGTCACATTAGAGCCAGTATGGTACCTGTCTGTCTGTCGTCAGTGGGCCTACTCACTCAGTCTCCATCTGTCATAGTTTTTGTAGCCATGAGTCCTGCTCACTCTCTACAAAAAACTAACCTCATGTGGACCTCGTATATCAGATCTAGCATGGTCAGTAGTTTCATGGCATTAAGATGAAAACAGACACATACTTTATCGGCTTTTTGTTAAAAGCTGCTCATTCAGCTGCATTTTTCCAGATTCCTTTTAACAACAGCCTCAAGAAAAATGATACTTTCTTGATACGTTTAAGTTTGTTTGTGTGGAGTGCTTATGTAAGATTGTGTAGACTGATATTAATAATGCCAGGCAGCAATGCTGTTGGCTAAAGGGCATTTGCATGGCTTTATTTACTGTAAGTCTGACTGTATTACATGTACCATAAGAGGAATCCTAGTAAATGTAGGACACAAGTGACGATTTGAGCATGGGGATCTATGTATTCAGTACAATGGACATAAGCAGCTGTGGTTTTGACTGATATCAACATCTGAAGGTAGTACAGTCACAGTGATTGATTGTTGTGGATGACACATTTCAGCAATCAGTTCTCCATCAGCAGCAGGTATATTGTATCGAGTAAGTGTTTTGGATTTGCTGCTGAATCCTTTTTTTTTTTTAAGTCAAAGCCAAGTTCTCCATATCAAAAAGATTCACATTTCTGTGTTTGCCTCACAGCAGGATCAACAACTTGGCTGCCCAAAGACCTTGCTACAATATTATCAACAGAAGTATTTTATTAAAATCCTTGAAATAACAGCGTTATTGAAACTTGCACTTCCTATGGGTATGATTTTAAGCTGACAAAGCCAGTAGTGGTGGCCAAAATGAACAGGATTAAATCAACCAAAGGTTTCTCAAAGTCCTCAGCAGCATCTGAATGTGCTGTATTAAACAGTAAATGCAAAGGCAACATCTTTTATTCCAAGTTTCAGTCCTCTGTGTGGGGTGAAATACTTCTGCCTAAAAAGTTGTTATTGATATTCTCAACTACTCAAGCATAATCCTGGGTGATTTACTTTCTATATCCTTTTTATTCTGTTAAGTGGAAGGGACAGTAAGACCTTGGGGCTTTCATTGGAGGAGTTGTATTGATTTGTCTGCTAGAGGTTGTTTTATAGCAAGACATGAGGAGTCAAGTAATACATGAAAATATGTTCTTATTAAATAGTTTAACTAGGTACTATGCTTTGAGGTAGTGTTTTTTGATGGCAGTGAACTTGTTACACAGAACTAAGAATACTGTACGTTAGTAAAACTATTTTTTTTTGTAATGGTTCAAATAACGATCTGTCTGAAAAAAGTGGCAGCTTTAATCGTAGTAGGTGGCATGTGCATCTGAAATGTAGTGTTGGTTAAGGCCCTGACACACCAAGCAGTCACCAGAGAACTCGCCGACGCCGACTGTTGCGTCGCCGTGTTCTCCTGCGTCTTGGCCATGTGTCGCACTGGAACACACCGCAAAGACTTCAGCCGAGCACGTACGAACTGCGCATGCGTGAGTGGCAATAACTCTCCTTACCAGCAGGCGGCGGTAGTGTGTATTCTTCATTCAAAACAGGCAACAACCGGAAGACAGAGAAGAAGAACAGACTGCGTGATCTAAACAAACTACAAATAGCGTGTGCGTTCCATTTTCACTCTCGTCCATCGAAAACATGTTTCGTGCGGTACTGGAGCTATCAGCCATTGGAGTGTTGCTTGTGGAAGACATTCTCAAGCAACCGTTTCGCTTCTCATGCACTGATTCGCTAGCTGAACAGCCAATCAGAGTGATTTCTTTGTCCGACTGCCTGTGGCCGACGCACGGCCGATTCAACATGTTGAATCGGCCGTGTTGAGGTCGGCCATGAAAGGCCAAATAAGGCGTGTCACGGCCGACGGTGCGGGACACACCAAATTGAGTTTGGGCAACAAGGCACGCTTCGTCGTCCGACTAACGAAAACGGCTGATTTCGGCCTGGTGTGTCAGGGCCTTTACTCTTTAATTTGGTTGAAATGTAGTCCAACCTTTTTGATAAATAGGAGATTTTTCATGCAAACATTTTATGATTTCAGCTACCTGAATTCGAGAATTTGCGCCTTTTTGATTGATAGTAAACTAATTTAGTTTTGGACCGATTTAATTTGAAGAGGCCACCTATACATTACAGTGGACATGTTTCCTAATTTTCTGACATTGAAGACAAATCGTTCAAAACAATTATCAGCAAATGTACTGATAGTCACATGTCTTGTTCGTGTAATTGTTAAAGGTGACATAAATACATTAATCTTTCATCACTACATGTTACTTTTTATTGTCAGGTGAAAGGTTGCTGCAGAGTCACGAGAATATGCGAGTGCAAATCAACGCTCTCCATCTTTGGGGAGTGGAGATTGAGCCATTAAGGCCGTCCTAAAGCCCAGTCTGAGGGATGTGGATGGCCAAACTCCACTGCAAGTCATGTTTGAGGCTCCAACCACTTATCTCAGGGCTTTGGCACATTTCATTGGCCAGTGCATAATCCGCTAAAGGTCATAGCCACTAATTACACTGCTCCAAAACAGACAGATGCCTACCCTGAGCTTGATTGCGCCCTCCTTCATCAGAAGAAATGTCAAGGGTTGCATAACCATCACTTGGATGATTCCAATAACATGTGCGTGGCTCACTTTGGTAAAAGAGTGACCAAATGTATGCCCTTTTAATAAAACGAGGCAAACCTTGTCCAAGCAAAAGGCATTCATTTTCTGCTATTATACACTTCTATCTATTGTCTTTTTTAGATTGACTTTTAAGCTGTCTTATTCGGCTTCAATGGCTCTCCGTATGTCACAGAGCGAGCTTGGCTGGCCGGATGCAGGGCTCAGTTTTAGCGAAGCGGCGACCTCATTATCTTGGCGTTCAATCAGTCCTCCGGCCAGCTCCTAATTGAGCCATCAGCGCCTTAAGGGGGACGAGGAGGGAAGAACGTGTCAATTACAGTAATGAGGGGGCAGCCATGCAGAGGGCAGGCAGGGAGATGGAGGCTAGACAGAAGCCTTGCAGTGTTGCCCCGTTCTGCTCAATCCTCGGCTAATCAAAGATAATATTCTAGCTTGACAGTGGTAAAGTTACTCAAATCAGCAGGGAAGAGAAGTTTTAATAATTTTCCCTTCTCGCAGTGGGTTATTTCTACATGTCTTGTTGTGCGAATTGTTCAGAGTTGGTGCCTTAGTGCTGCACTAATGAATGATGACGTCCAGAGCCGCTGTGAATACAGATATTTATAATGTATGAAAATCTCCATGAAGGCGCAGCACAAACCACATCATACATGATTCAGTCTTTGGAGTATTGTGTGAGGCTGTCCGGAAGTAATTGCTAGTCTGTGTATGTTGTTTGACAGCGGACATCATTTAGTGGGATTCAAACACTTTTAAGTTGTGTTTTTTGCTTAGGGCTGTTGTCACTGTTACTTATATAAACTTATAACATTTGAATAAAAATGTTCTTTTTGACATGATCATGTTATCCAATACATTGGCCTAGTATGTCCTTTTACAGCAGTGATTTCCTACTGAACATACTCGTATTCAGAAAATTGTGCAGTAGCTAATATGAGCTAATCGAAGCCATTATGCAACAATTAGTCAACGACTGAAAAATGCAATAACCTTTTGAAGTCATTTATCCAGCCTGTATGATTTGCTGCTTTTCCCACTGTTAAATTAATAAGTTTGGGTTTACATGACGTAATCCGTGGTAATTGTTTGTATAATGAATGTTCGTATGATGCTTATCTCAATGCCAGCTGCAACAAAATCGCCCCTTGTTATCTTAACAACACAAGACTTTTTTAAAACATCACATTGAGCTCTGAGGCATGATAACATCAGTCACATTTCTATAACAATATATTTTAACTAGTTTTGACCATGAAATAAAAAATAAAATAAATATGAGAGCATTGCCCAAAGTGACGTCCTTAAATGTTTTGTTTAGTCTGACGAAAAGTCACAAAAGTTATTCAGTTTGCTTTCATAAACAACAAAGAGAGCAAATCCTAGATGCTGGAACCTTAAAATGCGTAAAAAAAGTAGGCCAAATTCGATCATAAAAAAAGTTTCTGCTTATTTTTCTATTTATCAATTGATCACATTTTTATACCTTAATCAGAATATCTGCCAATATAGCGTTCAATAGCAATGCTCGCTTTTTGTCAAATTTAAATATGTATAATTCACTTAATAGAAATCATTGGAATACCTTTCACCTCTGTAACAGGAGACCAGGGATTGCTGTGGTGACTGAATGAATAGTGATAGTAAAAATGTATTGTTTTTAATAATGACAGAGAAATTAACTGTATTTATTGTGGGTCATTCTTTTCACAGCTGATTCATTTGAAGAATTAATTGTCTTCTGATAGTAACATCTTTTAAAAACTAGTTAGTAAGCAGGAAAGTGAAAATGGATTGCTAAAAATATGGCTGATACAGAAGGTTGAAGTTTCATATAATACTGTTAACGTAATACATGGCACTGATAGAATGACACTGAGATTTTCAGAGTTGAACATTATATGTTGGATTTTATTACAATTTCTGATTAACTCTCGAGCTGGTGCTCTGAAGTGTTGAAATGTGGTCTGTGGAGGCCCTGTGTGCTCTCCACTGGAGTATTCAATTTTTCCGTCTGGCCTGACAACAATCCCACAGGAGAGCATGGTCATGGAGGGTTAAGACTGAAGGGAAAACTTAACACGCCTGAGCCTTTGTGTAGCAAGGAGAATGGATTTCAAGGAAGCTAATGTATTTAGTAACGTAAAGGCTTGTTTTGTTTCCACTTTTCACTACAGCATGGAGACTAGAATCTTGAGCCCTACCGTCTTGATTTCTACTCCAGAGCTGGTGTAACACCAAACCAGTTCCTTCATTGGGGAATTTATACAAACGCATACATAATAGCAAAACAAATGTGTAACAAAAATTACAATCAAAAGTATCAATCATCTTGGACTGCTATGGTTCGGCATATTCTCCCGAGTTAACTTCAGCTATGTACAGTATGTCGTTCTGAATATATATATATATATATATATATATATATATATATATATATATATATATATATATATATATATATATATATATATATAGCTCTCTAGACTGTAAATAAATCACTTATATTATACATATTACATTTGTGTTGTACACTTTTGTTATAGTAGTATTTATTTGTATTTTTGGTCTAGTATTTCTATTTTCTCGACTCTTGCATACCCTCTTTTTTATATTTCCTTTTTTTAATGCAACAAAAACACCAAAGCACTTTCTTTATAGATCAATACACTAATGGTCAATAACCTGATTCTGATAGAGGACAGACACAATGGGGGAAAGGTTCAGACAGTTAAGAAGAAAAAACGATATCTTCATACTCAATTAACCTATGGGAATGTGAACAATAGTGACAAAGGCACATTTTATATACCAGAGCCCAAAGAGTTATCTTCAAATCAGAATAGCTAGAAATGTCATGTTGGGCATTTCTGGTTGAAAAAAGATTTTTTTAATCAATCATTAAAATAGCTGCCAATTACTTTTCTGTTAATCTTCTAATTAACTACCGATTAATCGACCATTCCTATCATCTCCAGGGAGCGCTTGATTTAATGTAGCAGAGCGGCCACCTTCAATGCAAAGCATCAGCATCACACCTGAGCAAGTTTAATTAACTGATGAAGCTAGAACTGTGATATGATTAACTGTGCAGTGCAACCGTAAACTTCATTTAGGTTGTAGACATATTTTAGAGGAAGGATATGTGCAGCTACATTACTGTTTAGTTCATTTGGATTCGTTATGAAGATTAAGTATAATTTCTAATTCTAGATGCAATCAAATGCATAGTCTGCAATATATAATGATGTCATGTTGACACGACTAAGTAAAGGGAAACTGTTGTACACTGCTGTATAAAGATTTATAAATCTGGATCCACTCCACCATTAATGATGCATTGATGCCGCACAGCTGGTTACACCTGCAGACATTCATGAAGGAATATCACTTTGGAAACAATTAACCCTTTGACTCCAGCAGCTGCAACATGACCAGGACACTGATCAGCTTCTTTAGTCTCACATATCTCTGTAACTCACACACACGTTGTCAAGGCTTCTTATTCACTCTTGTTCATCATTTTTTTATTCATGACTCACAGACATTTGCGTTCAAAGTATGGCCAATATAAAGAGTACCACAGATTCAGCCTGTGTTCAATATGCCTCTGATGCCTTACATATGTTGGACTGACACCCAACACATGCCATGAACACACATGAATGAGATTGTTTCTTATAATATTCTTCTGTATGTAAATAATCTTTAAAACATGATTTAATATAGAGCCTTCTAAAGCAGCCTTGACTTTCACATTTAATCAATTATAATTCATCTTAAAGCTCTTAGGTTGTCTATACTGAGTCCGTTTCACTGATATTTCCTCCTAGAATAATGGGCTTTTCTTTGTTTGTGTAGTGTTGTTACTGAATGGCCCTACAGGGGCTAATGCACCCTGCGTGTAGAAAACATGCTGACCTTTTGCTTGTACATCCTGATGACTCAAGTTTTTTACGATTCACTAATCTATTATCTATCTACTCAATCAATCATTAAGCCATTACAAAGATAGAACAATAATAAATGGCAAGAGCTTATGATTCATTGATGAGTGGATGGACACTCAAATTTGTAGTTGGAAATGAAATACAGTCGTCCACAGATTTTGGACTCAGGAGCTGTTAACTGTCGATGATTAATTAGTTCATAATACTGCCTTGGATAGGGTTTGTGTTTCTACATGCATATATCCACCTCTTTTTATTGTAATGTGTAGGAATCATCCATCTCCTCCGCTGCTTTACCTGCTGAAATGTACTATAGAGAGATATGCAACACAAACCTCTCCTGACAGTCACCTTGAAGACCGAGTAACAACATAGCAAAGCTTGAGATTAAATCATAAACCCTTTAATGTAAATAAACAAAAAACCTCTCACTATATCATGGTTGTTGCTTCTTAAGAATGAAGTGTTGGTTAGACAGAAGCCATGATGTGTGCCTGTGACCCCCCCGCTATAATAATAAGACATCATTGCTGTCTTCTTTGTTATTATATACATTCTTCTTTTTTTTTCTCACATGAAATTATTTCTTTATTTCTAAATGCACGACCTTTATGAACTGATCTCATTGAACTATTTCCGTCACATGTCTTGATTTTGATGTTCGTGTGATATTTGAGTAACCGTATCTCTGTCTCTTGCAGGAGAGCAGCGCCCCCCCCTCTCACCGCAGCAGCTGCAGGGGAGTTTGTCACTTTTTTCCTTGTTAACCAAACGATGAACTGAGGACCTTCACTTCTCAACATCACACATCTCTTCATCACACTCTTCACTCTCGAGTCGACAGCTGCTTCCCCACACCTGGCCAGGGAAATGTGTGTGCACGTGTCCTCGGATGCATGACTGTGTCTGAGTGCTTTTGGGCTGAAGTAAGCGGTAGAAGACTGCACTTCCTCTCGCACCCTCTGAGAGGCGTTTCTCCACTTCACTGACATTTGTGTCCACGACTGCAAAGCATCATGGGTAGGAAAAAGATTCAGATCCAACGGATCACAGACGAAAGGAACAAGCAGGTGAGTCTTAACGAAGTTACGTTACTCTTTTCTGTGGCTGAGTTAAAAATCCAGCGTTTTATTTGAAGTGTTTTTATAACTAAAAGTGGTATTACCCAAGCAGAACTGATTTTAAATTGTTTTTCGGAATATTATTCAACACCATTTTTAAGCATTTATCATTCAAATATATTGGAAAAGATGATCTTTATACTTATGAAAAGGCTCAGTGATTAAAAGAAACTTGAGTATCAACATATTCATATCACAGATGATACATCGTGCAGTTACTGAAGTCACACTGTGATTTTTGCCAGGCAGATTTGGGAACTCAGCAGTTGGAAATCATTTGCAGATTTACTAAATGAGTTTTCTGATTCTCAAGCTGCTCTATTGTTGATCTGGCTTTATGCTTGTATCATTGTCCCATTCAAATATACACATTAGCTGCAGTGAAAGGTCTCAGTTGCTCTTCAGCATGATGGCCTCAACAATTTTCAGCTCCATTTGTTGTTTCCTTTCTCCTCACAAGTCTGCCCTGCATAAGGCTGGCCCCCCGCTTCACAGTAGGGACGGTGCTGTTGGATGAGTTTGTGTTCTGCTTTCATCACACCACAGAATATTTTTGACTGATTTTTCTCAGTCCTCCACGTGTTACATTTTTGTATTTTCAAAACCCAAGCACACTGCCATGCGTCATGTCTCTTTCTCTATTTCTGCCTTCCTGCCAAGCAGCCCATATTTGTAAAATGCTGCACTTGGATCAACAATCACAGCAGCTCCGTCACCGTGGCTCTTGTTTTCCTCCCTAACCAGCGTCTTTCTTGTTTTCCCAGTTCGATGAGTAATCAAACAAAAATGTTAATTTGGTATTTTCAGGGGATTTTTATTCCTGTTATCACTGTTTTTGTGAACTCTTCCCAGCTGTGATATCAAACTCTGACAGATCCGGTAGCTGTTTTTAGATTAAACAAAATCTACTACTTAGACAAATAGTGTGCGGCATTGTATGCATATTTCACTGAAATATAATCAAATCACTTTTTGATCATTTTTCAAATCAAACTTTTATAAAACATCTTAATCTGTGTGAAACAATTAATCAAACATTTAATTCCCAAACTCTTGTCACCATGTCCTCTGTGCTTTTGACATGTACTCTGAAAATAAATGTATTCCCATTCATCGTTACGTTTTATACGTTTTTTCAAATTGTGCTACAATGTAGTTCTCTACTCTATCCTTAACATCGAAGTACATCAATCCTCTGGTTTTTATATCAAATAATTCAGCGCAACATTATAGAATATGGGCAACAACTTAAATAAACAAATGTCGAAATGAACAGCCCTTCCTTTCAATGCATATTCATGTTTGTACTCGCAGTGAATTGAATCGGTGACTGGTTATTGCTTGAAAACCACAGTCTGATTGCTAGGGATGCTCCGATCGATCGGCCGCCGATATCCACTCTCTGCCGATCGATCGGTGCTCTCTATAAATGCCGATCAGGAGAGCCGATCACATGACGTAAAATACATGACACTTTTCTCTGCGCGGCAAAACAAGCTCGCGAAAATGGCTTCACCAGTCTGGCAGTATTTTAAGGTGTCCGAAAAAGACAATAAAATAGCGGTATGCAACGTGTGTGTGAAGCAGAAATCCTGCAGCTCCACCCGCTGTGACGGACCGGTGAGCGGAGCAAAACACACATTAAGAGTTAGACCTAACACACGTAGCTATTTTATCTACCTCTGGAACAAGCTAAACTAGTTATAAATATATTTATTCTTCACTGTCGGCCCCAAAATTGGCAATCGGAGCATCCCTAGTTATTGCACTGTTGTGCTGATAGTTATGAGTCATAAAAGGCAATAACAAAAACAAGAATGCTTCATTACTGAGGCTGAAAACTGCCTCTGCTGGTGCAGTCATAGTTCTGAAAGCCCAAGAGAACCAACAATACCATTTATTGGATATATGTTATGTGATCATATTTTTCATTACTAGGCAGCTGAAACATTACTCGCATAGCATCAACATATTCTCCTGAACTGTGAATTTCATTTTGATTTGCAAGTGTAAACCTCTTTTTGTGTGGATTACATCAAACCCAAGAATATTCATTATTTTTTATCTCAACAGCGTGTTAACCCTTAGAAAGGGAAACATTGAGACCTTAGAAATAGTAGAACATGTGAGTGAATGGATCAAGTGAGAAAGTTCTACACAGCAAAAGTCAGGTTGTTTACCTGAATTTCTGACCTTCAGTGAGTTTTCTTAGTTTTTATTAAAGCGTGTGTACTCAAACAACGTCCCGTTTCCCCCTCCCCATCTTTCTCTGCTCTTTTCTCCCAGGTGACATTCACAAAGCGAAAGTTTGGCTTGATGAAGAAGGCCTACGAGCTGAGTGTGTTGTGTGACTGCGAGATCGCTCTGATCATCTTCAACCACGCGAACAAGCTGTTCCAGTATGCCAGCACTGACATGGACAAGGTCCTGCTCAAATACACCGAGTACAACGAGCCTCACGAGAGCCGGACCAATGCCGACATTATCGAGGTAAACGAATCAAAGCAGCAGCGTTGGTGTACGAGTCGCAAACTTGCTTGAGTTTTTCGGTCATCTAAAAATGTGTAAAAACAGACCTTAGCCTTAAAGAGAAATAAGATACCAATCATCCTTTATAGAAGTTAACAAATTCCCCCTTTTTAAAAGTGGAAGGCAGTAAGTCAAGTACAACATTTGAACACTTATCAACTACATTGTGCAATCAAAATGTACTTCATAATGTCTATTGCCACTTTAATAAAACTCCTTAGTTCCTCCTTGTAGCTTTTACACAAGAACACACTTTTCCACATAATCTGGTTAAATTAAAACTACAATTCTTGTATGAGAAACACCAGGACCATGATATTTGACAATGCAAATGTAGAATTAAACAAGGCTCCTCCTCAGGTAGTGTTGCTAATGTCTCACTTACATATTTAATCAACATTTATATAAATATAGGCATCAGAATTGAACTTGTATTGGAGTGTCAAGCAGCTGATTTTATTCTACCCTAACTTTCTTTTTGATAGACTTTGAGGAAGAAAGGCTTCAACGGGTGTGACAGCCCAGAGCTGGATGGTGAAGACTCGATCGACCAGAGTCCCCTGAATGATGACAAGTACCGTAAGACCACAGAGGACCTGGATGTCCTCTTCAAGCGCTACGGGGTGAGTCATCTAGTATACTATAAAGACTATTCTGCTTCTCTCTGGACTGTGGAATAAAAACACTTCTTTGTTATTATTCTGTGTTTTGCTCAAGCGCCTACAGGAAACGGCTACTGGGGTGAAGTTCCTCTAACCGGTTGTTTCACACTTTTTATCACCGGGTCTTTTACAGAGAGCTAGAAACTTCAGATCAGCACAAGAGATAACAGCTGTATGATCAGTCACTATCATATCTGGTTCATGTTAATAAAGCACATTTCAAGCAGTTGAGGAGATGGAATTATTTGAAAGGAATTCTAACTAATACTCTCTTGAAACTTCACTTCAGCTTTTTGTTATTTGGACTAACAGTTTGTTAGTTCTTTCCGGCCCTATGTGTACTGCTTCTGTCCTGAAAACCTTAACTAAATATTATACGCTGACGAAACTCACACATATCTCTCACTTATATCAAAGTACCCTGGTGGCCTTAAATTCATGCTGTACTTCCTTTGAAGAACCTCCTTCGAGCATAATATGGCCCCTTTAAAGTGTTACTTGGCCCTTCAGGTGTATACATTGTGAATTTATCAGGTAACTAAATTTGATTAAATTATGTAATGATGCTTTGGTCACACCAGTACATGCTAAACCATCTGCTTTGCTGAGTTAAAACTAAAATATATTCAAATGTGTCGCTTACCTGTAATAGAACCCAGTGGAAAGATCGCTTTTTAAGAATATTTAAGCTAATCAAAGATGTTGTGTATACTGTATTTGTGAAAGTATGATTTCTGAAAAGTGGCGATGAGGCCGTGAGCAGTTTTCTGTGCGATGAAGAGTAAAAGTGAGCTTCTCCCCTCCCGGCTTTGCAGCAGTCCACCGCTCCGTCCCAGACCTTCTCCATGCCAGTCACAGTGCAGGCGTCCAATCAGAGCACACTGCAGTTCAGTAACCCTGGCAACGCGCTGGTAACTACCTCCTATGTAACATCATCATCGCTCACGGATACCCACCTCCTGTCGCCACAGCAACCGGCTCTCCAGAGAAACACGGTGTCTCCTGGGTTGCCACAGCGACCAGCCAGTGCAGGTGAGTGTCCTCAGTAGATTTATAAACTCCGGCAGAAACAGAGGGTGAAGACGTTCACGTTCATGTTGCATCTGTTGTTACCAGGCGTCATCCCTTATTTGTTATCATTTCATGTACAGATCTGATCAGTTCGTCAGGACGGGGATCACATTCCTCTGCACTGTTCGACTGTCTTTTTACATTTGAAGTTTCTATTTCTGGTTTTTGAAAAGCTTATCATGTCTCCAGTCAAATATTATGACGTCGTCACCCAAAACAAATCCTTCATATTGAGGTTTAAAAGAAACCTCAATATGAAGCAAACGATACATTTGTAGCTTCATTCATAAAGTAAAGTTTCCTAAATCAAAATTGTATTTGCTGCACAGCTTCTTCTTTTTTTAAATAATGTTTTAAATTAATTCATCGATTTCGTGATCGTGTTTTCGTCTTATCTGGGCAAGACAAATTCAAGAGGTTCACAATCTGTGAAATGCCGGGTTAATGTGTGATAAAGAATCATTTTTTGAAAGTAAGAAAGAACTAGAGAAAAATATATTTTAAGGATGAAAATTTGATTAAAAGAAAAATAAGTATCTAAAAAGTGTATATTGTAGGTGGGCTTGGCACAATCTCCAGTGTGTAGTGTTGTTAAATATCACATTATTATGGACTATATTTCAGAACATGTGAAACCTTCTGGTGTTGTTTTGGGTGTTTATTCACATCCTCTTTTTCCTTATTCGAAAGGTGCTCTTCTTGGAGGCGATCTGAATAATTCAAATGGAGGATGCCCAAGTCCCGTCCGTGAGTCCTCTACTACTCTACTGCTGCGTTTGTTCAGATCCTGAGTCTGTTTAATCCTTATTTGTGACCGTCAAGAGTTCCTCAGGTATCTGGTCTGCATTCGATGATTAATGCCAGCCTTCCTCTCCTCCTCTGCACCATCTGTGTGTGTGCCTTGGAGTGAACAGGGAGGCCACCTGTAACCTCAAAAGACATGCATGGGATTCCCAGCAGCTTTACTATCACTTTTTAACATTATAGGACATCATAGTCTTTTAATTTTTCCTAATTCTTTCTTTAAATGTTTGTGTGTGGTCAAATGTTCTAAAGGGCTCCCAAATCACATGTATTTTTTGAAGAAATGTTGACATTACAAACAAGACTTTCCCCCTTTGAATGATTTTAATGCAAAGCTGAACTAAATGCATTTTTCCTGGTTAGTTACCATAGATACCCATCAAAAATATATAAATATTGCAACACTTTAAACAATGGGTCATAGGCTAGTCCATTTTGATACTGCATGCTGAACAGAAATGTACTATAATAAAACGTACAACATTATTACTTAAATTCAATTTGACTCTGGATGAGGTGATGTTTGCCTTTTTATAAGTCTTATTCAGTCTGTGAAATGTGTATACGTGAGAGCGTCTCAGAACAGGACAACAGTCGGGAGAGAAAGCTGTGGAGGAATATTTAGAGTCTGAGTGGCGTACCCCGCTGCTCGCATTCACCTGTTTGATTTTCCTATTGATTCCTGTCCATTCGCACCTCTTTCCACCCGCAGCTAATGGATACACCAGTGCCAGGGCCTCCCCAGGCCTCCTCACCGTTTCCAACGGCAACAGTCTGGGGAAAGTAGTTCCGACCAAGTCGCCACCCCCACCTCCGAGCCCCCAGATGGTCAACAGCCGCAAGCCAGACCTCCGAGTCATCACCTCGCAGGGCGGGAAGAGCCTCATGCAGATGGTGAGCTCAACCAGCCTGAACTGGTCCTTTATACAATAAGAAGATGTCTCTTTATACCTTTCTGTTCACACATGTAGTTACCTGGGATCATAAATAGTGAGGGTCTTTCAAATAAAAAGAACCCTGACGCTTGAAACCCTAGAAGTTATTTGTATTAACTTCAGAGAAGCACATCTTCACTGGCCAATAAATGAAATGGAAACTCTACAAAAACATTGGGAATTGATATATTTATATTATAATATAACAATTTACAAGGCCAAGTCTCAGATGAATCAGCCAACTCCCACTGACACTGATAAGATTCCTCAGAACCTTATCAGCTAAACATGCACCCACGTCTACTGACATCTTCAACTCACACGGTCCATTTGGAAAGGAGCTCTTGATTGTATCACGCAATCTTCCTCAGCAGTTTGACCACTACCATTTTTTGTGTGTACTTTAAACCTCTAATATCTGTATACTTTTCATGTGTGGATTGGGTCAAACCAACGGATAAATATCACCTGCAGTTGCTCTCAGAACTTTGTTTTGGTTTAAGGGCCTGCAACCTTTGTATTCAGTCTCAGCTCTGCCCTTCTCCAGCCAAAAGGCTCTGATAAACCCACTCTACCAGCGCAGCACATAACCTCAAACCATTTCATTACTTATTTCTGATCTTGGCAACAGGAGAAAACTGTCTAAGAAGATCTTGTGATACGACCAAAAGCTGCAGAAGTGACTAAATGGATCTTTTGTCAACTCTTTAATATCCTCCTAATGATGGAGGCGAGGTGATAGGGCACCTTCTGATCTCAGGTCCTACACAATAACTGTTACAATTAGCATACTTTGAATTACTTAAAAGGTAACGTAAAAGTAATCTGTTAGTAAAAATGTTATGTGTATTTCTTTTCAAATTGCTCTCTTTACCCTTAGTTATAGAAATGAATCAAACTGTCTCTGTTACCCTTGCAGACAGAGGAGGAGCTGGAGTTGGTAAACGAGGTGATTCGCGTCAGTCACTCGCATGAGTCGATGGCCATCGGCTGTTTGCACATTATGAGCATGGTTACGATGTAGACTTTCTCATTGTTTTGGTCTTGCTCCACTGACATTTGTTTTGGGATAGTCTTCAACTTGTCATTCCCACCTGACTGCATGAGGTTCATGGTTGTGTGGTTAGGATCATGATCTTCGCAGTGATAATCTAGAAACATGAGTTATCCTTGCTCGAGCAGAATGTTCCGAGTGATCTCATCTGTTTGAGCCCGGCCCATTTACTTCATGGTACGATATCACTTCGAAGCATGGGTGTCTGTTCACTTGGCATTGTGGTACGAAGCGCCACGGAGCATGTTCCCCGGCGCCGACGCTCATTTTCACCTTCCATTGAAATTAGAGTCAATTAGAAAAAACCCACTGCCGTTACATTAACAGCATGTCACATAGGAGTCATGTCTTTCATATGGAAAGCTTAAAGTGTTTCATACTTTAGGATTCTGTGGCTCCTAATATATATAGTTGCATTTGTTTTAAATCAAATGATAAGTGTTGTTAGGAGCAGTCAATAAGTAGATCAACTTAAAGTTAATCGGCAACTATTTTGATAATTACAATTCTATTAAAAACATCTCGATTGGAGAAATGTCCCGTTTCATCTCATAATAAACTGAATCATTTTGGGTTTCCTTTAAGGCAAGACATTTAAATGGCTCGCCTCAGCTTTGATTATCTGCGATCAACATTTTGAAGACCAAACAAATTATCAAGAAGAAACCGCAGATTATTGAAACAATGATATAAGTGTCAGTTGCAGCCTGAGTTAAAAAGCATGAACATTTAAAAGTTGAACAGCAGAGACCTTATTGAGAAATGTTGTTAAAACATATTAATCGAGGAAGTGTGTTATCCTTTAAAATCATCTTAACATTTACTCTGAGGGACGATGGCTTCTGCTTTCTGCTGCTCGTGCTGATTGTCAGGTGACCCCCCCCACCCCCCTCCCTTTTTTACTATTCCACTCAAAGTTGACAGGCAAGAATCTCATTTCCAGAGGATAGTGATTCATTGTCATCACCCTCACCCTGCCTCCCCTCCTCACCTCTTCACAAAGGGAGTTAATTGAATCTGGCCCATCTCTCTGGTGTATCTCCCCTCCCTCCCCCTCCCCCCTCTCCCTCTCACTGTAAATGTATCCAATGTTTCCTCTCAGGATCATCTGCATTCACAAGGTCTCAGTAGTCTGAAGAATCATTTCAGAGCTGAATTATGGCCTCTTTTGCTTTTCTGTATGCACATCTTTATTTGTTCAGTTTCCTTTCATGTGTGGTGTAATTGATTTGACCCAGACTAAGACTCAGAGATGTGTGTCTGTCAGTGCAGATACATGATGATACGACCTCATGTGAGCAGTTTCACACATTCAGCAGCATATCTGTTGCCCCTGTGTTTGAGAAATGCTGCATTTGTCAACAAGTACAATCTTGATGTTCAAACACTAAGCAAGCAGCTGGCGTGTTCAGAAAGCACCCAGGCAGCAAACTGAAAGGCCTGTAGTGACATCCACTGGAGAAACAGGATACTTGCTGCTCATTCAGTTTCAATGTTTAAGACTTGGGTCACAATAGTTAAAAAATAACAACAATCAGTTCCTGTTTTATTCTGCATACATTTATAGTTTACTGTGGGACTGTGTAATGCATTCTGAAATGTTGTCAATCTCAAAGTAGAATATAAAATGTTGCATGTACACTTTGTAAAGTATAGCAGATTGAAGAATTGTATTTCTGGAATTCTTAGGTTAAGCAATGACTTTATGTATCATTCAAATAATGAGAGTATTATTGATAATGTAAATAATTGTTTGTTGCAGAACCCAATCGTATTATATAGTCCCAATACTTGATGAAAAACCTACACAGTTCTTGTGAAAAATTATTTAGAAATTAAGTTAGTGTGAGTAAGTAGTGAATGACACTTTCACAAAATGTCACATTAAATTATGTAATTCGAAGCATTAGGTATTTAATTTAAAGTCTGAAGTAAAAAATGTAACCCACATCGTGGCCTTAATTTAATACATTATCTATAAAGCACAATTTCCATGGTTAGTGTCTCTTTTTTTCTAATCTTCTGTCATCCTTAACTGTCGCTAATGAATAAAGGCATACATTGCACTTTAAAAAATCCTTAGAAACTCTTAGATAATTATATCTGATGGTTGAACAAACTGCCTTAATGTTATATGATTTATGGCGTAATCCAAATAAAGAAACTTTTCTTGGATGCATGACATGAAGAACCTGCGGACAGTAAATCCTCCTGACTGAGATTTACTTATGAAGCCATAAACACATTGTCATTCCCAGCATGTCAGAATGTACTTTACTAAAGTGAGTCTTTCAGCATGAGGCAACACAGGCCGTTGCTCCGCTGTGACTAACATGTCGGTGTCTTCCTCCGTCAGAACGCCCAGCGGCTGGCAGCAGGAGTGCAGGCCGCTCAGAGCCTCAGCACGCCCGTGGTCTCCGTGGCAACGCCCAGCCTGCTGGCTCAGGGTCTGCCCTTCTCCGCCATGCCCACCGCATACAACACAGGTGAACTGAACACAGCAGCTCAAATATCCTCTTAGTTAAGGGGAAAAGCAACAGGCTGAAGTAGCTATTCTGTCGGCTAGTTTGTTATTTAGTCTTAGTTCTTTGTCAAAGTCTTTTCAAATCTGAATATAATGGAACTTTTCAGTCAATGTCACTTTTGATTCTTTCTACAGAGCCCTTTTTTAAATAGACTTAAGTAAATGAGTTTGACTATATCCTTCTGACTGGGCTCATTGTGTGTTAACATATATTCCTGACACAGGAAATGTTCCGCATACATGTGTTAATTTACCTCCATAGTTCATTAAAAGTGAATCAAATCACATTTTGAAACCTAAGAAATTAAATATTAGATGTGAACTTTGTTGTGATTTTTATTTTTGTATCCCCTGTCAGAGTACCAGCTGACCAGCGCAGACATCACTGCTCTACACGCTCTGGCGTCACCTGGCGGCTTGCTGCCCACCAGTGTGTCGTCATGGCAACAGCAGCAGGTTGTTTCCCAGCAACAACAGCAACAGCAGCAGCTACAGCAACAACAACAGCAGCAACTAAGTCTTGCCTCCCTCAGCAACTTGGTGTAAGTATTTTCTTCATTTTCTCCACCGCGCTGCTTCTTGAATTTAAATCAGTTTCCTCAAAACTGCTCCGACACTCGCGTCCCGCCTCAGGGAAGGTGGTGGTGGCGGCGGCTGACATATTTATGGTGTAAAAGCTCTGTCTCCTGACAACCCTCATAATACTTTACTACTGACCTTCGCTGTCAGCTTGCATGATCTCCATACCATGACCTTTTTATACGCCAGCAATTCACATTCCTCTTTAGTGAATTGACCTCTCACCAGCATCTCACCATCTCAGCCTCTTCATAACATCAATCTGAATATCTCCTATTCAGGTTCGCTGGAGTTGATGCACTTGAGCGGTACAACAAAGATCCTTTGTTAGTGACATTAGTAACTGCAGAATGGATTTCTTATTAGATCTATTAAGCATTTAACCCTTTCTTTAGCTCCTATGTACCCCGCAGTTTATTATTTTACAGTATGTTGCCTGGATGTGTGCATACCTTTTGTTATAAATTATGTTATTATTTACTTAAAATATGGAATAGAGCTTTATGAAACTATACCAAAAAGCAAGTTGCGTTCTGCCAGTGAAGAATGACGTGCAAAGACAAGTCACAAGTATTACCTACATGGAACGCAATTTGTGTTATGTACTGTAAACACCCTTGATAGAAAACCTTCACCTATTTTTTTCACCGTTTTATATAAGATTCATTTATATCTCAAATCAAGATTTAATACGAATATTTATTTAGTAAGCACGTTCTAAACAAGGTTACAAAGGGCTTCACAGACATAAAAACAGAAACCACACTATTACAAAAAAGAAAACTGAGAAGCTTCTGTGTGAAATCAGAGGACTTGTTAAGATTTGATATCCAGTTTAGGCGTGACGAGCACTGAGCAGGCTCCGGTTTAGGCGTGACGAGCACTGAGCAGGCTCCAGTTGTGTCTCCTGCAGCGTGAACAGCAGATCTTGAAGTGTGTCTCTCTCTCGTCCGCAGCATGTGGGGCGTGGACAAACAGAGCGATCTGTGCAGCCAGGTGTCCAGTCTGGCTGCCAATCTGAGGTGAACAGCCACTGCTAGTGTGTGCGTGTGTGAAATGGCATGACCTTATCTCTGGGGGGGGGGGGGTGTAATCCACTTTGCCTTTAAAGGGCTTCTATCCAAACCAAACGACACACAGTGAATGTTAAGGCCATACTTTGTGATTAAGAAAATACATAAGTGGCCTTTAACATCAACTTGTTTAGCCTAAAGAAATATAAAGGCTGGTTTTAATTTAGCTCACAAAATAAGGTGAAGATACATTTTCATTACGATACTTCAGTTAGTACATATTACAAGTATTTGCTGTATAGAAAATGAGTATCACTCATAGAATGAAACACAATATATTTCTTAATTTTATTTAACTAGCAGGAAGTAGTTGTTCAAAAAAAAAAACGTTTTAAATGTTTATTTTCTACAGCCAGCATATGCAATTATACAATTGTAACACTACAGCAAAAGTTAATTAAATATGATATAATGATATAAGTAATACGTTTTTCTTCTACTGGTACATTAGACACAAAAATCAAGTTTCTGATTTTGAGAAATTAAACAGACAATAGTTCCCCTCCTATATTCTGCCACAGCCTGGAGCAAACACAAATACGGTGGCCTCTGAGGACCAAACGCATGCAAGAGTTAAAGCCCAGCAGTCAAAAACATAAAATGGAGAAAATTACAAAATGCATACGAAAGGAAAAAACATAACAAGTATTGAAATCCAGAATTAGAACCAATGCAAATATAAAACTAAGTCAAAGCTTCAATACGTTTGCTGACTTGTTCCTTCTTTGTTCCCTCTTTGTTCCTTTCTGCTGCACATTTCTGTTTGAGTTTTTATTATATGGGGTCCTTGGGTCCCTATTCCTTATAACAAATGTAACTTAATGTAGGCCTTACCTTAGAGCTCTTGAATGCATTTTTTTAAGGGCCTCTGTAAAAAAAAAAAAAACATACATTTCAAAATACATCACTGTCCTGTATTACCACATTTATTCCTGAGTTTGTAGATCAGAAAACAAGATTTTCCTCGTCACATAAACTCAGCAGATTAGGGTTTTTTATTGTTTCTGAAGACATTAATAACATTATTGCTGTAATAATGTGCAATAATGTGTCACCCTTCTCTCCACACATGCCTTCTAATCCACCTCTCCCTTTGGTTTGGGCTCATCTTGTTTTCTCCCCACAGTGTTGGCTCTCCGTCCAACCTGCTCTTGGGTAGAGACGAGTGGTTGGGCCGGTACTGTATCACACTTCCTTTTTCCTGTCTGTCTGTTCGCTTCTGGCTGCCCCCCCCCCCCCCCCCCCAAGCATGTCCTCTGCAGTCAAACAGGAAATGAGACGTAGTTCCGGTTTCACCGCGTTCTCTAACCCGCTTTTATTTCTCTGACTATCATCTGTCTTTTCTTCACATCATAGCTGCCTCACTGCGACCCACCCTGTCACACCAATCATTTCACGCTTCCCGGGCTGTTGTGTTGATCTTTTGTTTACCAGTGGGGGGGGGGGGGGGTTTATTCTGCTTTGAAGGCTCGGAATTGATTATTGATGAATATAGTGTTGCTTCTCCCTGTTGGTGCTGTGCCTTGTTTTTGGAGTTTTTGTCTCGACACGTTGACCTTCCAGTTTCTTTGTACGCCTTTTTGTAAAGTAGCTAATCATTTGAATGTTTTGTTTTCTCGCCTTTGTCCCTCCCCCTCTCACTGTGCCCCCCCCCCCCCTCTCAGGCCGGTGACGCACATACCTCAAGGCGCCATGCTGACCGTCAACACCAACTCCTGTGTGAGCATCAAGTCGGAGCCTGTGTCCCCGGGGCGGGACCGCAGAACCCCCTGCCCCCCTCCGTCTTCATCCACGCAGTCCTCCACCTCAGGGGGGGGCATCCTGAGCGCCCCCCCCCCAGTACCCGGGCTCCCTGCTGTGCCTGGAGCCGCCGACCGGCCGCTCGCCCGCCGACAGCATCAGCAGCAACGCCAGCTCCTTCGAAGGCAGCGACCGCGACGACAACGGGGCAGCTGGTGGAGGAGGAGGAGGAGGAGGGGGGGGCAGCGCGGCCGGTGCTACAGGGGGCGGGGGTCCCGGCGGACGCCCCGACTTCAGCCCCTCGGCGGAGCTCCTCAGGGCGTCGAACGAACCGGATCAGGAGGGAGGAAACATCAAGCGCATGAGATTAGACACCTGGGTCACATAGAGCCGCTCCGCACCCACAGTGGAGTTCTGGTGACACACACACACACACACACACACACACACACACACACACACACACACACACACACACACACACACCCTTTACACCCCCACTGCCCCCACCTCACTGCCATGTGACACTATCATCACACACCTGCCTCTGTCCAAAATTATACAGCTCAGCTGCGTCTTTGCCAAAAAACCATTTCAAACATCTAAAAGTCCTCTGAGTGAGGAGCCTCTGAGCTCAGCTGGATGTCCCGTGTCGATCCGTGAAGAACGGACGGTAGGTTTTTAAAGACTTCTTGCTTGAATGGACTTCGTATAGTCATTTGTTTTGGTAGAAAATGAGGTGTTGAACTTTTTTTTTGTTGCAATCTGACAAAACCATACAAACATGAATCTCTCACATGGTTTCACCTTCATGTATTTACATAGACATTGTTCACGGTGGCGTGTGGTCATTATGGGACTTGTACGACTCGCCGCTTCTCGCTCTTTGAACGCCAACGTCGCTCGGATCGTGTGCCGTCCATCCTTCCATTAGTCACCTCCTAACTGCACTTTTGGATAGAACTTCATCTGGACACGTGTTGAGGACTGAGCATCGATCTGGCACTGAGCAAACAGACCAAGGAGTTCCCGGTGAAGATTTATCACTCTTCTTTACGCTGCCACATTTTGGACCTCATCCCCCATGGCAGGCCCGAGCCACAGGGGGGACAGAGAGCAGCTTGCCAGAGTGCCAACTCCCCCCTCTCCTCGACAACAACAAATGCCAAATGCCTCTCGCACACGATGCAGTGACTGACGAAAGATCACTGTCGAGGACACGAGAACTAGAAACTGATGATGCTTTTCAGACGTGGCCGTCACTCTCCTCAGACGGGCTGCCCCCCCCCCCCCCCCCCCCCCCCCCCTCTCACCTCCCGTCCTCTCACCTCCTCTCCTCTCCAGGATGGAAGTTGTTGCACCAGAAATCCAGCCAGCCGCCCGGCTTATCACCAGGAATAGATGCCATCCTGTTAAATGCATAGTAGGAGTTCTTGGAGCCTCTCTTTTTGTAGGTAGGGAAAGTCTTTGGGTCTTTCAGTCCAGGTGTTCTTTATCTGTTGGTATTTGGAGAAAAAAAAAACTTGTTTTGAAGGTCCTTTAGTTGTCCAGATGTAGGAATTCTGACTTTGTATAAAAAAAATCACTCCTTATACAAAAGCTTTGATGTCCTCTTTAGCTCTCTCTAGCTCTCCTCAGCTCTTCAAAAGGTGAAAAGGAGAAAGACATTTTCTATATTTCTACCGCTTCAGTTGGCGACAAAGTGAAATAGCTTTTCAGCTTCAACCACGTGTATGTACATACGACTATATTTGCATAGACTTTGCTAGGTATCCCTAAAAACAAGCAATGTGTTGATTCTCAGTGGATCTGTTTGCATATATGAGTGTGACTTTGATATGTGGAGCTCCGGTGCAGGGGCTCCTCCACACTAGGTAGAGCTGTTGGGCCGACGTGTTTCAGTAAAACTATTTTATGCTAGTGTTGATGGTGTGTGCACTTTGTCTCACTCACAGAGGCCTGCTTGGTTGTGGTGTCATCATATTCTCCTTCCACACTTATTTAAAAACCCACGATCAAAGTAATATTGTCCATTACCACCTGCCCATCAAACCGTTCACTTATAGCGTAGTTAGGAGATAAAATGCACTTCTTTGACAGAATTTCCTCCACATAGACACAGATTATGCCTTTTTTCACTTTGAAATGAAGTCAAGAAATTGGCTACCAAGTGCTATGTTTGTTGTTTTTATAGTATGTTCTCTAGTTTAGTCGAAAACCATTTCAAAGTTGTGTGTATGAGTGTGTACACGGGTGTTCATAGCCTACAAATAGGAAGTTTCTCCTGACTGCTCGACCTTTTTCTTTCCCTTGAGAGGATGCTCAGACTGGCTGCTGTTTGTCGACTGTTATCTGCTTGAAGTGCAGAAGGTGGCTGCTTTTATGATTCGATGCCGTTTGGTTCGATAAGTCACAGCAGAGAGTGAAAGCAGAGTTTGACGTCTCCACTGTGGGTTTGTGTTGAGACACATTTTCACCCAGTGTTGTTGAGGCTTTCTATGATCAGGTCATTTTTCCATCCCTCACTGACAGTGCTATGGGTAGCTTTTTACTCTGCTAGTTTCAGGTTAGTACAGTTTTTCTTCTGTCAATCATCAATTCAAACTCATGCCGGAGAACAATTGCCTCCTGAACCATTTATGGAGTAGTTCTGCATTTTGGGAAACTTGCGAAAATGCACTTTCTGACGGAAAATTCAGTTTAAATATCAATACTGTTTGTGCAGTAAATCAGTTAGCTAAGAAGGACATGGGCAAGTATCTAGCCTGGCTCTGTCTAAAGGTAATAACATGTTTCATAAAATGTATATAAATGAGCATTTTCACCCAATTTCCTTATACCTTATATTCCTTATATTATGAGTTGGATTTTTTTCACTTCACTTTGGATGAAACAATCCTAGTTATTCACAGAGATGGTGATAGTATTCTTGTTTTTTCATTCTTTTTCACCCTTCAGACAGAGCCAGGCAAGCTGCTTACCCCTGTGTTCAGTCGTAATGCTAAGCTAAGCTAACTGGCTTCATATTTAACGTGGAGTCAAAGTTCTCATCATACTGCAAATGATTTCCCAAATGGAAAACTACTCCTCTAAAGATCCAAACTACCAGCTGTACCAGCCTTCAGGCCGAGCTAATGCATCATTTTATTTTTTCAAAAACTGATTTGAGTGGAACTGTTTGTGGGTGCTGATGGTCGACTGAGATGTGACACCACACTGCAGGTTCTTCATGTACAGAAAGGTTCTCTGTCCAACTCGCAGCTTAGTCACAAGACAATCTATATGAGAAATGACAACCTGCACCCTGTTACTCGTTGTGTACAATGTTTTTTAGAAACTCACTATTTTTGGATTAATTTGTGCTGGTGACAGTTCCATTGTCTATTATGATGATATTATTATGGCGCTTTTATTTTATTGCTATTTTGTGTAGGATAGTTTTTATTTTCTCTTATTTTCTCTTCTTTATGAACATATAGTACTGGTTTCCTTTTTTTAAAACAACTTGCTGAAAATTGCACGATCAGTTCTTGTGGTATTAGCAAATGCAATGAAGGAAATGCCAGTTAAATGCTGCAATTTTAATTAAGATATAGAATATATTTATAAAAACGGGAAACAACTGAAATTAGTAATTCATTCAATTTGAAAAAAATGTAAATGCATGGGATACAGGTAACACAACGTATGTTACGTACAGTAATGATACAGGACATGCATCACGTGAGTTTTTAAACGGCTCAGAATAATGTAGCATATGAAATACTAAAGATGAAATTTATAGCTAATATATTGTGTTGAGCTAGTCTGCTTTGGGTTTTTGTTGTAAAGAGAATTTTTCTTTGTGTTGTTTTTTGAGAATGATATACAATTTGTGTATATTTTCATATACAAAGTATGCACTGATATGTTATTGAAATTCTATACCGCTTTTACAAAAAAGTGTTTGTTGTACCAAAGTATCCAAGTCCCTTGAAACCTTACCCTTTTTGCGTATGTTTTACCGTATTTTATATATTAAATAGACAAACTGAGTGAAATCAATTTGACTCTGTCGTTTTATTTTTCTGTGTAGAAAAGTGAAATCACTTCTTTAAAAAAAAAAGACAAAATCGGAAACATTGGTGTTTGTATAATCTCAATATACCTCAATCTCAGCCCCCACCCTCTGGAACGCTCTCCCTGCGGAGATCCGCAACATCCCCACACTTGACTCCTTCAAAAGGGCCCTCAAGACCCACCTCTTTACTAAGGCCTTTGGCCCCTAAATCTATCTGTTGTTTTGTCTGACTCCCTTTTGTTTTGTTATGTTTGTTTCTGCCCTATTCTTCTTTGTTAAGCGACCTTGGTTCCTATGAAAGGCGCTATATAAATCCAAGCTATTATTATTATTAATATTAATATCTTAAAATGTAGTTTATCTCAGAGGTGTGAGTGTTTGTCCTCTGTCACTTTATCATCTGTTCTCTCTCTCCTCAGCGCATTGGCACAGTTACAAACACGTGTGATGAAGCTTCATTTCACACATACACGGATACAATTAGCTCATCACTAATCACCTCCTGTGAGTTAGCTACAATATAGACTTTAACAATTTAAATAAAATATTCTTTCATGCTGATCTTTTTAACCCAACTTTATTATAATGCTTTTATACGATGTCGATCATATATATGATTACACTAAATATATTCATGTTTTGGACAAAATTACATTTAAAGTCATCCCCTTAAGCTTTGGGTTGTTGTGATGAGAACTTTCTAACTATTTTTTTCCAACACATTAAGTTGACGAAACACTCAAACCATCAGTCAGACCCACTGGTGTCTAAGATTGGGCAGTGATATCATAAACCAGTTAATTTACACATTCAAACACCGGGTAGGTTTTACCAGCTGCTCTGCCTGCAGCTGCGTTGCTTTTATCCTGGATAAAGTGTTTAAGTCATGGATGTTTAAAGTTTAACTTCTTCATTTGTCTAACATGATCGTTTACTTTTCATTCATGAAGTATGACGCTGTGCTGTCAGGTCGCTTTTCCAGGTTTGTGATTGGTCAAATGTTGCTAACCCCGCCCCTTTCATGTGAACGCGCACTCAGCCGGACGGAGAAACCCTGGGTTGAGTTACCGAGTTGATAACCAGCGTCGTAGGACCGCTTAGCGAGATCTCGTTTGTTAGGGTTAGTTAAGCTGGGTAACTCAAACATATCCAGGGTCTGTTGAACTGGCTTCTGCTTTACTGACTGGTGAACTGTCAACAATTCTAAACAAAAAGGTTTTTAGTGTTTTTGTCCAGGGTGGTAATACAATGCTGCATTTATTTAAAGTGACTGCATCACATGACATGGAAGAAAATAACCCTTCAACAAAAATAATGGGATTTCATAAAAATATTGATAGAAAATAGAAAAAACACTAAAATCCAGTAAAAAGGTGTGTCATATAGTAATACAATGCTGCATTGACTTAGAGTCCCTGGTAAGCTTAACATGGAAGTTATTAAAACATGAATTATACTTTGGTTATTCTGAAGTTTCATTAAAACATTCATAAAAGATAGAACAAACACTAAAATGTAATAAAAAGAGGTGTGTCCCACATGTCCAGGTTAATACTAATAAATGTACTTGGTCTAGTTGAAACTTACCTCATCTGATCGCAGCAACCACATTTAAAACATGAAATGGTCGCTGTTAGTGCTTTTATTTCAGAAACATCCCCTCAGTCAGATCTGAATCATCAGCCTCCGCACAATGTTGAGTATCATATTTGTTAAAGCTTTATTGAAAAAATGCTTAAACTTAACTCGTTTTTTTCAAAATAAAAAAAAGACACTGCCCAAAAACAGACAACAGCACTGCTGACATAAAGAAAGAAAAGCCTTTGATCAATAAAACAAAGATGCATTCATCAGTCTCACATATAAATATTACATCATAAGATTACCATTAATACCAAGAGTGCAAAAACGAAAATGTGAAAATTCATTAAAAAAAAGTTAATTCAATCTCATAAAATAATTTTGATAATAAATATTTACAACATCAGTTCTTACTTTTCTTATTTCTGCTGCATCACGTCGACACACTGGATGCCTCAACAGAAACACTTCTAATTCAAAAGCCTCGTAATTCAAAAGCCAGTTTACTGTAGATTTTGAACAGAAGGTTAGTTAAGTAATTAAAGCCCTTCCTCAGATCATCCTTTTTTCATTTGCAAGTACACAAGAGCTTTTTTGTTTTTATGTAAACTTTTTCAACTTCCTCTCTGAACTAGCATGCGAGTACTTGTGCATGTCTTCCTTTTTTCAATACAGAGATTCAAATAAAGCCCCAACAGGCTTTATATCATTGATTTCTTTGTGACAGTGGCCATTACTGGGAGGGTCTTTTGAGAGCACATCGTTATTATTTGAATAATAAAAACACTACCCAAGGAGAGTTTGCCGTCGTATTTAAGACACAGAAGGAGGGATTCAAGGTGCCTTGGTGCAGGTGTGATGTGATGTGAAAAAGGTGTTCTTAGTCGTTTGTGTCTTATCTCCTTGTCGTCTTTTTGGACGTCCCCCTTTAACCCCACCAGCGCTGCCTGGGGGGAGGAGCTGATGTTGGAGGCTCAACGTCAAACACTGACTCCGGCCCGACAGACGAGCAGATGTAGTACAGGTTGACCCCCAGCATGACCAGGATGGGGAAGAAGGAGAAGCCGAAGCCGAGACCCCGGAAGCTGCTGCCCAGAGAGAGGCAGAGCCAGTAGATCAGCCTGAGGGGACACACACAGTGTGAATACAGAACACACACACACACACAGTATAAAACAGAACACACACAGTACACACACAGTATAAAACAGAACACACACAGTATAAAACAGAACAAACACAGTACACACACACAGTATAAAACAGAACACACACAGTATAAAACAGAACAAACACAGTGTGAATACAGTACACACACACACAGTATGAAACAGAACACACACACAGTATAAAACAGAACACACACACAGTATGAAACAGAACACACACACAGAACACACACACACACAGTATAAAACAGAACACACACAGTACACACACACAGTATAAAACAGAACACACACACACAGTATGAAACAGAACACACACAGTATAAAACAGAACAAACACAGTGTGAATACAGAACACACACACAGTATGAAACAGAACACACACACAGTATAAAACAGAACACACACACAGTATAAAACAGAACACACACACAGTATAAAACAGAACACACACACAGTATAAAACAGAACACACACAGTACACACACACAGTATGAAACAGAACACACACACAGTATAAAACAGAACACACACACAGTATAAAACAGAACACACACAGTACACACACACAGTATGAAACAGAACACACACACAGTATGAAACAGAACACACACAGTATAAAACAGAACACACACACAGTATGAAACAGAACACACACACAGTATGAAACAGAACACACACACAGTATGAAACAGAACACACACACAGTATGAAACAGAACACACACACACAGTATGAAACAGAACACACACACACAGTATGAAACAGAACACACACACACAGTATGAAACAGAACACACACACAGTATGAAACAGAACACACACACAGTATGAAACAGAACACACACACAGTATGAAACAGAACACACACACACAGTATGAAACAGAACACACACATAGTATGAAACAGAACACACACACAGTATGAAACAGAACACACACACAGTATGAAACAGAACACACACATAGTATGAAACAGAACACACACACAGTATGAAACAGAACACACACACACAGTATGAAACAGAACACACACACAGTATGAAACAGAACACACACACAGTATGAAACAGAACACACACACACAGTATGAAACAGAACACACACACACAGTATGAAACAGAACACACACATAGTATGAAACAGAACACACACACACAGTATGAAACAGAACACACACATAGTATGAAACAGAACACACACACAGTATGAAACAGAACACACACACAGTATGAAACAGAACACACACATAGTATGAAACAGAACACACACACAGTATGAAACAGAACACACACACTGTAATCAGGGATGCAAACTCATCAGGTATGAAAAAGGTGACAAGGATCCGAGCCCCCCGACCCCACGGAATATCGGCTTTAAAATGAGGAATAACAGAGGATTTTAGCAGTCAGAACAACTAAAGCAGCAGTTAATAATAACAGAAACGCCAAAGAGCCACATCTAATAGAAATATATTTAAGCATTTATTTTAATTGTGTAGCAGTCAGTTTATAATTTTGGTAGGACTGTTGAGCATTTTGAAAATGTATTTTCATGCCTCTGTGCAAGGCTGTCTTTCTATCTTTATAGCCAGTGGTGTAAAGTAACTAAGTTCATAAACTCAAGTACTATACTTGGGTACAATTTTGAGATACTTGTACTTTATTTAAGTATTTCAATGTTTTGCTACTTTGTTCTTCTTCTCCTCTACAGTTCAGAGGTAAATTGTGTACTTTTACTCTACTACATGTATTGAATACCTTTAGTTACTTCACAGATGTGGATGAATGATGTGAAATATAATCAAGTGTTAAATCAGACTTTAGTTCCACCTGGAGTAAATCCACAAGCTATCCTGCAGTATACAAAGTCATTCAAACTAGATGCACCTTTACCAGCTTTGAGAACACTTTCATGATCAACCATTATAAAACATATCATATATATTATTCTGAAATGGACCAATCTGCACAATGACTACTTTTGCTGTCACTACTTTAACTATATTTTGATGATAATACTTTTCTACTTTTACTTGAGGAACATTTTGAATGCAGGACTTTTACTGTAACAGAGTATTCCTACACTCTGGTACTTCTACTTTTACTCAAGTACAAGACCTGAGTACTTCAACTTTTACTCAAGAACAAGATCTGAGTACTTCTACTTGTACTCAAGTACAAGACCTGAGTACTTCAACTTTTACTCAAGTACAAGATCTGAGTGCTTCTACTTTTACTCAAGTACAAGATACTTATACCACCTCCGTTTATAGGCTATGAAAGAAACTATTTGAAAACGAAGGCTAAAGCTAACGTTAGCAGATAGTGACAATGTATGCTAGTTAGCTAGCTCAACGATTCATTCAAAAATATTGCGACAGAAACACTTCTCAGTGCACATCACGCTCTGCCGCTCCGACAGGGAGCTCTGCTCTGAACACCCCGTTCTAACCAGCGGTCCAGTCTGTGCCACAGTGACTCTGGACCGCACAGTTAATATTAACGAACGCACCGTAGGTAATGTAGCTGCTGAAGCTAGACCCTCGTCCCGGAGCAGCAGAGCCTTATTATACATCCATGAGCAGAGCCGACAGGCAGGAAGACTTGTGCTCCCGCTTCATTATAATATATAAAAAAAGAACACCATGCGTGTCATGATGGCACATAACAGCTCGCGGCCGCAGATTACTCCGGGTCCCAGACCCCCCCCCCCCATACCCCAACAATATTTTTATTGCAGAGCTACATGAATCACACAAACGACCTATTTTGGAATCAAAACGGCAAATTTCGCCGAAAGGTGACAAGTTTGCATCCCTGGTAATACAGAACAACACACACACAGTATGAAACAGAACACACACACAGTGTAATACAGAACACACACACAGTGTAATACAGAACACACACATAGTATGAAACAGAACACACACACAGTGTAATACAGAACACACACACACAGTATGAAACAGAACACACACACACACACACACACACACACAGTATGAAACAGAACACACACACACAGTATGAAACAGAACACACACACACAGTATGAAACAGAACAAACACAGTGTAATACAGAACACACACACAGTATGAAAACAGAACACACACACAGTATGAAACAGAACACACACACAGTGTAATACAGAACACACACACAGTGTAATACAGAACACACACACAGTGTAATACAGAACACACACATAGTATGAAAACAGAACACACACACACAGTATGAAACAGAACACACACACACAGTATGAAACAGAACACACACACACAGTATGAAACAGAACACACACACACACAGTATGAAACAGAACACACACACACAGTATGAAACAGAACACACACACTGAATACAGAACACACACACACACAGTATGAAACAGAACACACAGTGTAATACAGAACAAACACACTGAATACAGAACACACACACAGTATAAAACAGAACACACACACAGTATGAAACAGAACAAACACACTGAATACAGAACACACACACAGTATAAAACAGAACACACACAGTGTAATACAGAACACACACAGGTGGATGAGATACACTCCATCATCTACCTCATTTGTAGTGAGCTTGATTTAGACACAAAGCCCCCACACCCAGTCCCTTCCAAAGTTCAATCGTCCTTCATCAGTTTCTGTGTAGAGTGCTCGATGACTCAAAGGATCTGGATTCATCATTTGGATTATTGGATTGTATGGTTCAAATGTCCTCTCAATATGTTTTAGATTTTGCCAGAACATTTTCAGAGCCTCCGGTCGTCACAACCAAAAAGCATCTCTTACTGAAAATACTAAATGAATCAAACAAATGGATATTAGGAGGGGTGTTTAGATGATCTTTATGAGGTTTCTTTGTTGCTGTAGTGTGTCTGACTCACACACACGCGTATAAATATTAGATGTAGATGGAGCTCTTGCACCCGTTAACACCCCAACAATTCAAAATCTCATCAGTCTGCAAGTATCAGGAAGACGACCTGATATGGATTCATAAAAAAAGGTACAACGTTTGAATACCTGCACTTTGAAGGACTCTTTACACAGAGAACTGACATTCTAAAAAGTATTCTACTCTTGATTTAAAATGGAACAATGGTATGAATGAAGCTTGAATTGGTACGGCCCTATTGCTTGACGGTGGCGACACATTTTCTAGGAAAAAACTGACAATAAAGAATCTATCAATCATGTGCAGTGCTGTGTGCATGCAATACTGGGAGAAAAAAAGAGAAGGTGTTAACTCGCTGAATGACTTCACACGGCATGTGAGTCATCAGGTTTAACCAGTTTATTTGGTTAAGGAAGGATAAGTGACCTTCAGCACTGATCTTTTGTTGTCACCGTGGCGATGCATGCAAAGGTGCGACAGGAAGTAGATTATCCTCCCACATACAGTAAGTGGTAAAACTGGGGATTTGTATGAATCCTTTCTGATCAGTAGCGTGGTATCACTGTGTTGTAAAGACGTGTCCAGCAGTTGCATGCAGAGTCAGTGAAGTGTATAACTGAAGTGAAAGACATTTCTTTACTAGCTGGAGAGTAAATGTGCTGCCTGGCATTTCTGGCCTTGATCCACTCCCTCTCTCATTCAGCTGAGAAACATTGTATCTGTGTCTGTGTGGACCAACTCACAGTGAGCCAGTGTTAACACATGACTACAAGCCTTTAATTAGAGATCTCAATCAAAAGGAATGAAAACTGTTTACTTTCCACGTATAGAAAACCTTTTGGTGACATCAGGTATAACCTCCACAGGTAATGCTTCAATATATGAACTAATGCCATTACCATTGGCCTCAGCTGTATGATGTGTTTAGTGTTACATTTCAAATGATAGCCTGCTTACAAATTCAAGTCAAGTGGCCAACATAAGTCAAAACCAATATTGTATTGTGTATCTTTAATGTGAAATTCATTTATATTTTTCTTATCAAAAGTGTTTAAAATCTAAAGGAATATGGACTGGTGGGATTGGTGGTTTTGCAATAACTATGAACGCTTTGAGTTTTAATGCCGCCTTTAAATATTTGATTTGGTTTTTACTCCTAACCTTTTGAACCTTATTTCACTAGAATAGCCAACGCCTATACACAGTAGGGAAAACATGTTTGTTCAAATTACTATACAAATTTAATTCACATACCTGCCGAAGACAAATATGATGGTGAGCAGCGGCACCAGTTTGACCAGGTCCTGGCTGATGTAGGTTGCCATGACAGCGAGCTGCAGGAAGTAAAAGAGGAAGAGAGCCAGCGATTCGTTGACGTAGTGCCAGTGCACGGCCACCTCTCTGTTCACCAGGGTGCTCTCGTAGAGGGGCTTCAGGGCGCTGTAGCGCAGCCGGGCCACGCCCTGCACCAGCACACCTGCAGGGGGGGGGGGGGGGTCAGGGTTAGGGGTTACACACCTGGGGGGGTTCAGAGCTAACAGTGTCTGTTTTAAAACTTCATAGGTTTTTATTCCAATGTATGATACACTTTACCCATATTGAGGTCTTACCGAGCATGATGGGGATGATGGCGAAGAAGGCGCAGCGCAGAGTGTACACCACCCTGAGGGGGGTGCTCTGCAGCAGCGGGGACTCAAAGGGAATAAGGGCGTACCCCCCCCACACCAGCAGAGGGAAGAGCAGCGCTGCAGCCGCCGTCCCCAGAACCAGCTTCAGCTTCTCACTGCAGAGAGACTCACACAGGTCTGAGGAAGGAGAGGGGACACGTTCAATACCAAGTCATTATTCCTTTTTATGGGGGGGGAACGACTGTAGTGCGTTATACGTTTTTTGTGCGTGTAAATGGTCTGCAAAGGCAAAAATCTTGAATAATGTACTTCATTTGAATGTAATAATTATGTTGGTTGTTGTTTGTGGAAGCGCCAGTGAATGAGCCCCATTAACTGAGTTTAAAACATCACTTTAAATGGAAGATCCCCATAGGCCCCGCCCACTCGATCGGATCGGCGATCGGTATCGGCCGATACTGATTCCGGCGATCGGCCCCAAAATTGGCGATCGGAGCATCCCTAGTCACAGCGGGTGGAGCTGCAGGATTTCTGCTTCACACACACGTTGCATACCGCTATTTTTTTGTCGTTTTCGGACACCTTAAAATACTGCCAGACTGCTGAAGCCATTTTGGCGAGCTTGTTTTGCCGCGCACAGAGAAAAGTGTCATGTATTTTACGTCATGTGATCGGCTCTCCCGATCGGCATTTATAGATCGGCCGATCGATCGGAGCATCCCTAATCACAACAGAGCCGGCCAGCTAACCAATTAGAGCAGACAAGGCTCTGGTTTCAGACAGAGGGTGAAAAGAGGTGCTGACAGATAAAGACCTTTTTGAACATTAAAGCATGGAAACATGTTACAGTAGAGGAACAAAATACAATTACGAAAGTGGGTTTATTTTGGTTATGTAGCTCCAAATTCTGACTTTAATCTCAGAACAAAAAATAATCACTTTTGGTCAGATCTCCAAAACAATGGCTCTAATCCTCATTTGAAAGCCTTTATCCGCCTCTATTATTGACATGCCGAATGCACTGTGCACTACTTGGGAGTTTGATGCAACATGTCGCTAAAGGTATATGTGACAAATAAACAGGTGGTGGAGAGAAACAAAGTAGATTTACTCAAGTACTGTACTTAAAGTGCACCTATCATGCTATTTTAAAAGACATATATTATGGGTCTCAGATATATAAAAATATATAAAAACATGTCTATGATGTGTTTTGCTCAAAATACAAACGGATCATGCATTTTAGACTTCCCTCATATCCCTCTATTCCATCCCTGTTAGAGAAATGCGGATTTTGGGTCCTTAGCTTGAAAAAAAAAAGCATGCTAATGCCTGATCAGAATTCTACCGGAGATAAAGTTAAATTCTGCTGTGATAAAACGCCATCCTGTTCTAAACCACATCAAGGATTATTTCTGAAACAGTATGGAGCTCAAATGCTTTTTCTCTTGCAGGTTTATCACAAGGTGAGTTCTTTTTTTATTTCCTGCTTTTTAAAACACATGTGCTCTCCAGTACAGGTTAGCTCTGAGTGTTAGCGAGGCTTGCTAATGTAAACAAAGACGAGATTACGTCCAAAACACATCAGGCATTGTTTCTGATAGCAACTTTCTGTGGGTCCGCCACCGATTTGACGTCATATCGGCAGCAAATCTGTATCCGCTCGTTGTACCCCCATTTTTAAAAGATGTGGGCACGGAGGAAAAGAGAAAGGGTTTTATTTTCTGACGCTGCGTGAGTTCCCCGACGCACCGGGCACACATATTTATGTATAAAAGACATCAAAAAGTGCATTTTGCATGATAGGTCTCCTTTAAGTACACTTTTAAGGTACTTTTTTTGCTACTTTGTACTTCTACTCCACTACACATTTGTTAAATCTTTAGTTTCTTTGCAGATTTGGATTCATTGTGTGAAATAAAATCAACACAAAAATAAGACTTTAGTACAATTCCCCAGCTACCCTGCAGTATACAAAGTCATTAAAGCTGCACTGTTAGCAGCAGTGATAACACTTTAATGCATCAATAATTATAATAACACATAATGTATATTATTCTGAAATGGGCCAATCGGCATAATGAGTACTTTAAGTATATTTTGATGCTTATACTTTTGTACTTTTACTTGAGTAACATTTTGAATGCATGACTTTTACTTGTAACAGAGTATTCCTACACTCTGGTACTTTTACTTTTACTTAAAGGGGACCTATCATGCAAAATGCACTTTTGTACATCTTTTATACATGAATATGTGTCCCCGGTGTTCCAGGGAACTCACCAAGTGTCAGAAAACACAACCCTCTCTATTTTCCTCCATACCCAAATCTCTAAAAAAGGGGCTGCAACGGATCTGATAAAAACTGATCCAGATTTGAACACTGTCCTGACGTCAGGACGGTGGCGCTACGGCTATTGGGCCAACTCCACCAATCAGGAGGAGACAGCCACGGCCATTGCCATTCGAAAGCGCTGGAGACGCTGTAGTACATATGCCAGGCCTGTAGATGGTGATGTTCTCACTGAATCTGCCCTTGCTAAAACAGGGGTAAAAAAGTGCAAATTGAGCAAAATGAGGCATGGCTAAAATGCATGATCTGTTTGGTATTTTGAAAAAGAAAAAAAGTATAAATATGCCTTATATAGGTATGGTCCTACACTATATTATTCAAATATAGCATGATAGGTCCACTTTAAGAACAAGATCTGAGTACTTCTTCCACCTCTGCTAATAAAGTATCTTGACTCTTGTTTTATACTCACAGAACTTGTCGTCCTGCTCTCTCCACTCTGGATGAAACCGATTGGCTGCGTCGTTCTCCACCTGCAGCTCCTTCTCGTCGTCCTCTATGAACATCCGGCTCTCCTCAAGAAGCTCTTTGCTGGACGGACGCACGATGGTGACTTGTGGAGAAAAACCCATAGCAGCTTTCTCTGACCTCCAGTTTGACTCCCCTTCTTCCTCCTCCTCATCTTCATCGTCTGCCAGGGAGCCTTCCCCTTTATCGTCACGCTGCACCTCCAGCTCGTCGTCCCTCCACTTCTCTCCTTCAGGCATGCTCTCCCTCCACTTGCTCTTCATGTCTCTGTGCTCCTCTGACAGGTCCTGGCTCCCCCCACTGACCCCCGTGTCTCTCTCTTCGGACCAAACTCCATCGTCGTTGTCCGTCTGAGGCCTGTCTTTGTCTCCAGGCCAGGGCAGAGTGCTTGGCTCCAGATGAGCAGAGCTGGTCACTTCCTCCTCCTCCTCTTCCTCCTTTGAGTCTTCTCCTTCCTTGCTCTTGCTCTCTTCTGGCTTTTTATTTCCTGCTATGTGTGGCTCTGCAGGTGAAAGTGCATCCTCCTCGGTGACTACACTAACTTGGCCAGACATTTTTTCAAGCTTCTTATCTTAATTTTCTCTCTTTTCAGTCAATACTTGTTCACACTAACTGTTAGCATAGCTTCTTCCAGCTTCCTATGCTCATTTCTGATTGATTTCTGTGTAAGGAAAAGAAGAAAAGAGTTAAAAACAATAGTGTGTTCTGGCTTCAGCTTCACACAAATATCAAAGTTTACTGTTTATCATGGGTGTGTTGCACTGGCTTGTCCTGTCCTGCAGAGCCAGCGTAGCCTACCGCAGGTATGGTGTACGCCACAGAAGACAAATTCCTTTCAGGAACACTTCTAATATCTACATTTGTAACCAAAATCGAACTGTTGAATAGTGATAATATGACGCTCTAAAACCAGAACAAGTATCATCAACAACACATCCAGAAAGTGTATAAGAAGCTATGTGAATACACCAGCATTATGTACAATGCTTTGAAGAAGATAACAGAAACACTGTTAATAAAGTCCAAATCAATTATTAAACATTTACAGACAACACTGAATAATTACAGTCATTAAGTGAGTAATAAACTACTTGGCTGCATTCCTGCTCTCCTGAAACAGACTGGACTTTGACCGTTTGACATATTATCACTACAGGCTTTCCTTAGACAAATCTGATGACATTTTTACGGCTTTGTTGATTTGAGTTTTCTTAGCATAATATGTTAAGTCTCTGGAACATTGGACTACCTTTTTCTCAATATTTCATTATATTCTAGGAAACAATAATGTGGAATAAGAATGTTAAACCTGATGTTATCTTTATTTCTCTTTTTTTTGTGTAAGCTACTTACATAGGCTACCTATGTCGGTACCAGATTTCAGAAATAGGACATGTTTTGTTGTGTTGTTGAGACTGAGATGAAATAATTAAACATGGCTGGCTTTTAATGGTGAGACTGTGAATTTTAAACTGTCATTGTTTTGAATCTAGTTTCAGGAGAGATGTGTTAATGTTAAGAAATATGAGTCATGTTTATTGAATTAACCCTCAAGAAACAGCACTTTACCCTTACTCTGACTTTGTTGTTTAAAGTCCTACATTAGTGGCACGCATTTTACCGATACACTGTCACTTTTAAGTGATTGTTACATGGAGTCTGAACTGTGAACAGTCCTCTGTTGGTTATTTACTTCAAAACGTTGTTAACTTAATACCAAAGCTTTCCCCTCCTTGAGGTGTAACTGGAGGCCCGGTGGGAGCAGGGAGGAATGTAGTTTCAGGCTAAGCTAAAACTTGTTGAGCGACTCTGTATTTACGTCGAGCATTGTATTACAGAAACACAGAAAAGTACTGAATTGTTTATGGTTGACGTACCTGCTTTCACTCCGGTCACATCACCGACACAATCCTGGGCTTTGTCGGAAAGAAGTACCGAGCTCACTGCTTTAGTTGTTTCTCCCGGGGGTAGTAAAGGTAACCTAGCAGGTGAGTCCAGCTGCTCGGAGCACGAGGAGGCGGAGACAGTCGCGAGGTGTCACTCTGCGGATGTTTTCCCGCCCCCTCGTTGAATCTGACGTCATTCGCTTATTAGCCCTTCGCACAAACGGTCAATTTATGTCCTCTAATTACTATTATTTGAGCTCTTGATTTGTGCTTAAATATAAAAATCATATTCATTTTTTAGGTAAGTGGTTAATCTTTGTGTTAGTCTGTTTAATTATATGCCTGCCAATGAGCACTCATGACCACAAAGCTAAGAACCAAAGGCTTAGTACATCCCTTTGTTTTGGGTTTATCATATAACTAATTATGCCAAATGCTTCATGTCAAGTACTGGTATTTAAAAAGAAAACTACATTGTGTAAAGGTGTTCCAGTTTTAAGTGATGTATCTATCTAAATATACACATTGCTGCTACATTAGCTTAGCATCAATGAAGTCTTCAAACAGTATTGTAAGAGTGGTGCTGCTACACCTAAAAAGTTTCTCATTCATCATTGATTTATCTAAACTGTGTGGAGGTGGACAAAGGAATACAAATAATCTGAAATAGATATTGTTGAAAATAAAACAGCATTTATTTTATATTTTATTTATAAGCAAACAAATAATTGACTTCTTGTTCAAAAACACACAAAATTCAAATGTCTACTAAAATAGTTAGACTTCAGATCACCTTTTTTAATATTACAAACCAATAAACAATTTGGCATTTAGAAATGTAAAATCTTTGAACCGACAAAAAAAAAATGCCTAACAGTAAACATTAAGTCACACACAAGTCACTCTTTTTACAAAAAAAACTGCAAACCAATCACATGAATTAATCTCAAGACACTTTTAAAAAACACAAATGAAGATGCTTCACAGCTACAAGTAAACATTTAAATAAAAGAGTGAACTAACTATAGCAATAACTAAATAAGTAAGTGAGTGGCAGGAAGGCATTTCATAGAGCTTTATCGTCCTACCAAGTAATGCAAAAGTAGAGAAGGAAAACACATCGCTCTCAGGAACCGTAAGTGATGGTACATTCAAAGCTTTGGCAATTAAGGCAAAACAACTGTGAAATGGCATTGAGAAAAAGTATATTTAGACATTTTATCTAGCAAGCACTCTCACGGATTCACGATAGAAAGCTGGAGGGGATAAATCATGACCCCTTTCTTTGTTACCAGAAAATACATTTAAAAAAAAATAGTCCATAGTCACGCATTTTTTTAAAGGTCCTATGTCATGCTTTTTCGGTTATTACCTGTCCCCTTGTGTGTTATGTAGCCTTTTCTGCATGTAAACAGTCTGCAAAGTCACAAACCCTCAAAGTACACCCTGTAGCGAGTAAAACTCTAACACAGAAAAGACCCGACTATGCTGCCCCAGAACGCCTCATTGGAGATTTCTCTTTTTCCACACACACACACTCAGCGGCAAAACTATGACGCGCTGGGGTGCTAGTGGAGCCTCGCAGCAGCGAAACTGTGGCGCACTTACACTGTAGGTGCGCCGTTTAGGACAGAGGGTGTTTCTCAATGTCAAGGAAGGATGCTCCAGAGCCACTATTTCAAGGATGCTACGTCATCGAGTCCCGCAGAAGGACTGTTCCAATGTCCAGGCTCCTTGGAATTCTACCGAGCCCGGCTTCCTTCGTAGCGAGAAATTTCGAGGCTCCACATGTGTAACCTTCGCGGTCTTAAAATCCCCACAATGCTTTGCGCACGGATCAATTTCCAAATATTTGGCGGAAATCGTGCTCCATTTAAGGCGGGGCCTCGCATATGACGCACACCTGTTAGCCTGTTCCACCATTCTTTGTTTTCCGAGGCTAGGAAGGATTCTTGCCTCGCTTCTGAAGGACCTGACTCGGAAGACATGTCCTACCAAGGAAGCGTCCTCAACATTGAGAAACACCCAGAGAGTGAATACACATACTATACAGAGATGCTGTATGAGAAACCAATGTCATTTTGGAACATTGAACAATGTAAATCTATTCTAGTAGACCTCAACAATGGAATTATGATCAGTAGCAATGGCCATGACATGGGACCTTTACGCCCCCCCCCCCCCCACTCAGGCAGCACCCCCCCAAAGCAGTAAACCTAGGGGAAACACTGAAACAGGATTCATTGACAGGTTTGTCTTCTATGTTTTAAACAGCAAGTACTACAGCAACTTTTTGGTCGGACCGGGATTGTTCATCTGGCCTGGTTCGTGACTTCAAAGCTGGCCGCTGGATCGATTATTCAGTGATGTCCTCGATGGACGTCTCTGCGCTCTGCTGCACTTCCTCTTCCTCTTCCTGTTCTTCATCTGCCTCGTTGGAGAGTGTGGCTTCTAATTCACTTGTGGCTTTATTTTTGTTGATTGAACCCTTAGGGCGGCCCAATTTCCGTGGGGTTTCAGCATCACTTTTTGGGGGACGGCCCCTTTTTCTCGGGGGTCCAACATAGGGTTTAGGTGGTGAAGAAGAGGCAGGGAAATTCTTACGTAGGTGAGCGCCTTTCTTGGAATCTATCTTGCGAGGTCGGCCACGGTTTCTGGGAGGGGCCGGTGAAGTCTCCTCAGGAGGGTCGGGACGCGGGTATTTCCTGGGCCTTCCCAGCGGCTTCCATACTCGTGGCTTATTCAGCTCCTCTGGTGTCGGCCGGGGGTATTTTCTTGGTCTTCCTCTTGTGGTCGGTTCTTTTCTTGGTCGACCAATCCCTTTTTTGGCGCGGCCTACCTTAACTGGCACCTTATATGCAGGGGGTTTCTTGTTTGGAGAGCTTTTTGGTCTACCCCTTCCCCTCTTTTCATCTCCGCTCTCCTGTTCAATACTTTTTCTGGGGCTTTCCCTCAACTTCTTTGAGATGCCATTTGATGCTGCCTCCACCTTCCTGGACCTATTGGGAGAGCCCGTTTCACTCGGACTCCCCGACTTGCGCTTCGTGGATCCTTTTGGTCGACCCCTATTTCCCTTCGGTGTATCAGCCTTTGCAGGGGTGCTGAGAGACTTACGTGGCCGGCCTCTTTTCTTAGGAGAATGTTCTAGTGAAGCGTCGTCTTCATCACTGGCCTCTTTCTGGGACCCTGAATCATCTGCATTGTTGTCTCCTGATCCTTGCTGCTCTGTGGGTTTAATGAGTTTTGTGGGTTTAATGAGTTTTGGACGTCCTCTTCCTCTCGGGGTCTGTGGGGGTTCACCGTTAGAAATGTCCGAAACCATTAGGTTGACGTCGGTAAGTACAACCTTCAGCTTCTTTGGCCTTCCCCTTCCTCTTTTAGATGGACTGTCATTGGAAATGTCTACACTAGGCTCTTCATCTTCACTTGCCGCCTCGGTCGTTATTATTTCTTCTTCCATGCTGTTGCCGTCAGCTTGGACTGCTTCTGTCAGCTTTGCACCTGTACATGGAAGATTGCAAAGGACAATTTATATATAATTAATAAAACGTTTTTGCGTACATTGATTATATGACTGGGTGTGAGTGAGCTTGAAAAATGTTTTGTGCAATACAAGTCATTCAATCTTACAATGAGAAATGTATTGTTTTCATTAATGTTTAAAATAAAATAAATTGACAAACTACTTTGAGAAATGTCCCAAGTTTTATTAACTATCAAACAAAAATCTCAACATGTAACCCAAGTGAAGATTTTATTGGTATGTTCTAATGAATCTGAATTTTTGAAGAAAGATGTAAATAATATATGATTATTCTCCTTGTTGCAGAGACCTACAACTAATAATGATTTCCATGACCAAATGCTGATTTTTAATCAAGCACTGTGAAAAAATTCAAAAAAATCTTAAGTGTGAATTTACAATGCGCCAATGGGGAAATAAAGAAAACTGGAACCAGGAAAAGTGGATGCCTTAACTGTTGACATGAAGTCAGAGGCAGAGAAGAGACCATGCGAGCTTTCGCTGCCACATTTTGAGCAGTCACTACTGGAAATACTTACAGATTCCCTCAGGGCACATTGGCACCATTTACCAGCAAAATGATGGTAAAATACGCAAATAGCTTGTAGATTTGATCTATTCACCAGCCCCCTTCCCCCTGAAAAAACCCCAATGAGTTGCTATTGAGTAGCTGGTAAAACTTGATTCCCTTAGCCTCTGGCCAGTGGACTAAAATATATATTTTGTACCTTTGATCAATTTATAAAAGCTTTAAAATTGTCTTTATATCACTAAAATATTCTAATTATTCATTTGTTAAAAAATAAAATGCCTGGCTAAAAATGTATACCATTACAATTTTGTAAAAAAATAAATAAAAGGGGGGAGGGGTCATAAACAATCTACGTAGACGACATATTCAGAAGTATAATAAAGAACATTTAAATACATGATAATAAATGTAAATAAAACGATTAAAAAAACAAAACTTGTTAATGTATGTGTATCCCCGTTTCATTTAAAGCTGTTTTTTTGTACATATATTTAATGGACTACGATATGTCTGCGGCAGGAAGGCGCACCGATATTAAAGGAAGCTAACAATAACATGCACATGATTATCAATGAGCTCGTAAACTGCGTATTCAAAATAAAGTTAAAAGATCTGAAAAATATTTTTAAAAGTCGTAAGACTCTCGTACCTTCTGTGCTGTATTTAAAGCACTACAGATGTGTAGAAATGAAGGGCCTTAACAACCACTGCGACTGTGGACCAGATTGTTTTCCAGGTAATAGTCAGCTTCAACATCCGCGGTGAAGGAAAGAGTAGCCAGCGGCGGGAAGCAGAAATAAATCAGCAATTGACAAAGTGCATACCTGCAAACCTCACCTTAAATAAATCTTCTGTAGGATTCAATCTTCTTGTTAATAAATTCACCGATACCCCACACAGCCCGTGAAGTAAAAGTCCGCGCGTATTGTTGCTGTGATGGCTGTTTAAATTTGCGACCACTTCCGGTCGTCCGAGGCTTTAAGGAGTCCCTGAAAGAAACAGTAGCGCAGAGTTTCAGTTCCGCTTCAGCAGCGACACTTTTGACTTCCAGACACTAATTGTGATTGGACTACTGTAACCTACATATAACATGTGTATACCCACATTTTCTACTTTAATTAGTTAAATCTGCTATCTGCAGCCCCAATACAGCATAGTCCTCCCTCTGTGATTATTTTAGTTCGATACACTTTATTGTAAATAATTATGTTGGTTTCTATATAGTACCTTGCACCTTTAAACTGTGTATTATTTCAACTGTTTTTAATTATTTTTTTATTATATTGAACAGAGCACATGAACATGTATAGATATATACAAACAATTAAAGTACATTTTTACTACATTAATAAATATATTTCATTATGGTAAATATAATATGCACATACCTGTATATACACCCACAATTGTATTTTCATTAAGAAAAAATAAGTAATACTAATTAAATCAAACAATAGGGAAGGGCAGGTCTTCATGCAGTCAGACTGGAGCAGGGGATTTTGTTAAAAATAATCCAGGAAAGACTGACATATCTTGTATTTATTAACACATCCCTGGCTAAAATATCTCAGCTCCTCCAATTGCAAGTGTGTCATTCCATCCCTAATCCAACGTACCTTTAGATTTTTTATTTAATATTTTAAGTAGATACTTTGGTATCTATACAATGCTTTTGTTACTGGCATTTTGTCACGCTGTTGTGAAAAGTGCTGTTAAAATAAAGTTATTATTATTGTTCTACTGCTTTTGTGACATGAAATCCCTGTGTACAATTAAATACTTTTATCTTATCAATAAACTTAAAAAGGAGACATCCCATTATAATAAGCAATACTTCCACACATCATGTGCTGTAGCAGATCACATAGGAACATCACTTATTTTATAATTTTCTGTGTTTTACAAGTCCTTGTAGGTTAAGAATGTGTATGTGCATGACAGAATAAACATCAGGTTCCTATATTTCAGTTCAAAGAGGCTTTTTATTTACATGACTATATGAGAAAGTGATGGAAACGACAGTGGCTGACAAGTATGTCCTACAATATGGAAAGTGAACCTCAAGAACTCATTATTTTTTTCAGAAAGTTCAATAAAAAGAAAAATGCAGAAAAGACAGATTGTATCGAGTTACACTATACTTGAACAGAGGCCCGTCCTGATGTAATGTCAGGACATTTGCTCTATAGTTTCACCATTCTTTAATGAAAATAAAAAGAATTAGTTTGGACTTTTTTATCCCTTCCAAGTCTTTCCACAGCAACCGTTTTATAGTTACACTTCATCTGGCACACACTATCTGAAAGCTAAATGAAAACTGGATGTCAGTCTATAATAACAAACTCAACATGCCAGTTTTGGTAAAAGGTTATTAGTACTACTCGTATGACAGAAATAAAGAATATAAAGAAAAAGAATCAAGCACAATAAAACAAGATGGACACGTTAGAGAAAACAAGAGCTGCTGAATATCTAGCCCAGCCGACGGACAAAATGTTTAAAACGGCAGTGTTTCCCCTACCATTGTCTTGGAGGGGCGCTATATCTATATCTATATATATATATATATATATATCTATATATATATATCTATATATATATCTATATATATATCTATATATATATATATATATATATCTATATATATATATCTATATATATATATATAGATATATATATATATATATATATATATATATATATAGATATAGATATATATATATCTATATATATATATCTATATATATATATATATATATATATATATATATATATATAGCACCAAATTGCAACTAATCTATATCTACTGTCACTTTTCACATTGAACATGTGCTCTTTTATTAAATAAACTAAACGCTTTCATTTTAAGTTGTGAGTTTAGTGTTTTTGACCTTAAGAAACACTGATGCATTAATCAATAACAATAATCCACAGCTCCTCTCTGCTCCAGAGGATTTAAAAAAAAAAAAATCCCAGCGCGCCCCCCCCCCCCCCCCCCCGCTCAGGCAGCACCCCCCCTAAGCAGTAAACCTAGGGGAAACACTGAAACAGGATTCATTGACAGGTTTGTCTTCTATGTTTTAAGCAGCAAGTACTACAGCAACTTTTTGGTCGGACCGGGATTGTTCATCTGGCCTGGTTCGTGACTTCAAAGCTGGCCGCCTGATCGATTATTCAGTGATGTCCTCGATGGACGTCTCTGCGCTCTGCTGCACTTCCTCTTCCTCTTCCTGTTCTTCATCTGCCTCGTTGGAGAGTGTGGCTTCTAATTCACTTGTGGCTTTATTTTTGTTGATTGAACCCTTAGGGCGGCCCAATTTCCGTGGGGTTTCAGCATCACTTTTTGGGGGACGGCCCCTTTTTCTCGGGGGTCCAACATAGGGTTTAGGTGGTGAAGAAGAGGCAGGGAAATTCTTACATAGGTGAGCGCCTTTATTGGATTCTATCTTGCGAGGTCGGCCACGGTTTCTGGGAGGGGCCGGTGAAGTCTCCTCAGGAGGGTCGGGACGCGGGTATTTCCTGGGCCTTCCCAGCGGCTTCCATACTCGTGGCTTATTCAGCTCCTCTGGTGTCGGCCGGGGGTATTTTCTTGGTCTTCCTCTTGTGGTCGGTTCTTTTCTTGGTCGACCAATCCCTTTTTTGGCGCGGCCTACCTTAACTGGCACCTTATATGCAGGGGGTTTCTTGTTTGGAGAGCTTTTTGGTCTACCCCTTCCCCTCTTTTCATCTCCGCTCTCCTGTTCAATACTTTTTCTGGGGCTTTCCCTCAACTTCTTTGAGATGCCATTTGATGCTGCCTCCACCTTCCTGGACCTATTGGGAGAGCCCGTTTCACTCGGACTCTCCGACTTGCGCTTCGTGGATCCTTTTGGTCGACCCCTATTTCCCTTCGGTGTATCAGCCTTTGCAGGGGTGCTGAGAGACTTACGTGGCCGGCCTCTTTTCTTAGGAGAATGTTCTAGTGAAGCGTCGTCTTCATCACTGGCCTCTTTCTGGGACCCTGAATCATCTGCATTGTTCTCTCCTGATCCTTGCTGCTCTGTGGGTTTAATGAGTTTTGTGGGTTTAATGAGTTTTGGACGTCCTCTTCCTCTCGGGGTCTGTGGGGGTTCACCGTTAGAAATGTCCGAAACCATTAGGTTGACGTCGGTAAGTACAACCTTCAGCTTCTTTGGCCTTCCCCTTCCTCTTTTAGATGGACTGTCATTGGAAATGTCTACACTAGGCTCTTCATCATTGGGCACCACATCTTCACTTGCCGCCTCGGTCGTTATTATTTCTTCTTCCATGCTGTTGCCGTCAGCTTGGACTGCTTCTGTCAGCTTTGCACCTGTACATGGAAGATTGAAAAGGACAATTTATATATAATTAATAAAACGTTTTTGCGTACATTAATTATATAATATTGATTATATGACTGGGTGTGAGTGAGCTTGAAAAATGTTTTGTGCAATACAAGTCATTCAATCTTACAATGAGAAATGTATTGTTTTCACTAATGTTTAAAATAAAATAAATTGACAAACTACTTTGAGAAATGTCCCAAGTTTTATTAACTATCAAACAAAAATCTCAACATGTAACCCAAGTGAAGATTTTATTGGTATGTTCTAATGAATCTGAATTTTTGAAGAAAGATGTAAATAATATATGATTATTCTCCTTGTTGCAGAGACCTACAACTAATAATGATTTCCATGACCAAATGCTGATTTTTAATCAAGCACTGTGAAAAAATTCAAAAAAATCTTAAGTGTGAATTTACAATGCGCCAATGGGGAAATAAAGAAAACTGGAACCAGGAAAAGTGGATGCCTTAACTGTTGACATGAAGTCAGAGGCAGAGAAGAGACCATGCGAGCTTTCGCTGCCACATTTTGAGCAGTCACTACTGGAAATACTTACAGATTCCCTCAGGGCACATTGGCACCATTTACCAGCAAAATGATGGTAAAATACGCAAATAGCTTGTAGATTTGATCTATTCACCAGCCCCCTTCCCCCTGAAAAAACCCCAATGAGTTGCTATTGAGTAGCTGGTAAAACTTGATTCCCTTAGCCTCTGGCCAGTGGACTAAAATATATATTTTGTACCTTTGATCAATTTATAAAAGCTTTAAAATTGTCTTTATATCACTAAAATATTCTAATTATTCATTTGTTAAAAAATAAAATGCCTGGCTAAAAATGTATACCATTACAATTTTGTAAAAAAAAAAGAAAAAGGGGGGAGGGGTCATAAACAATCTACGTAGACGACATATTCAGAAGTATAATAAAGAACATTTAAATACATGATAATAAATGTAAATAAAACGATTAAAAAAAAAAAACTTGTTAATGTATTTGTATCCCCGTTTCATTTAAAGCTGTTTTTTTGTACATATATTTAATGGACTACGATATGTCTGCGGCAGGAAGGCGCACCGATATTAAAGGAAGCTAACAATAACATGCACATGATTATCAATGAGCTCGTAAACTGCGTATTCAAAATAAAGTTAAAAGATCTGAAACATATTTTTAAAAGTCGTAAGACTCTCGTACCTTCTGTGCTGTATTTAAAGCACTACAGATGTGTAGAAATGAAGGGCCTTAACAACCACTGCGACTGTGGACCAGATTGTTTTCCAGGTAATAGTCAGCTTCAACATCCGCGGTGAAGGAAAGAGTAGCCAGCGGCGGGAAGCAGAAATAAATCAGCAATTGACAAAGTGCATACCTGCAAACCTCACCTTAAATAAATCTTCTGTAGGATTCAATCTTCTTGTTAATAAATTCACCGATACCCCACACAGCCCGTGAAGTAAAACTCCGCGCGTATTGTTGCTGTGATGGCTGTTTAAATTTGCGACCACTTCCGGTCGTCCGAGGCTTTAAGGAGTCCCTGAAAGAAACAGTAGCGCAGAGTTTCAGTTCCGCTTCAGCAGCGACACTTTTGACTTCCAGACACTAATTGTGATTGGACTACTGTAACCTACATATAACATGTGTATACCCACATTTGCTACTTTAATTAGTTAAATCTGCTATCTGCAGCCCCAATACAGCATAGTCCTCCCTCTGTGATTATTTTAGTTCGATACACTTTATTGTAAATAATTATGTTGGTTTCTATATAGTACCTTGCACCTTTAAACTGTGTATTATTTCAACTGTTTTTAATTATTTTTTTATTATATTGAACAGAGCACATGAACATGTATAGATATATACAAACAATTAAAGTACATTTTTACTACATTAATAAATATATTTCATTATAGTAAATATAATATGCACATACCTGTATATACACCCACAATTGTATTTTCATTAAGAAAAAATAAGTAATACTAATTAAATCAAACAAAAGGGAAGGGCAGGTCTTCATGCAGTCAGACTGGTGCAGGGGATTTTGTTAAAAATAATCCAGGAAAGACTGACATATCTTGTATTTATTAACACATCCCTGGCTAAAATATCTCAGCTCCTCCAATTGCAAGTGTGTCATTCCATCCCTAATCCAACGTACCTTTAGATTTTTTATTTAATATTTTAAGTAGATACTTTGGTATCTATACAATGCTTTTGTTACGCTGTTGTGAAAAGTGCTGTATAAATAAAGTTATTATTATTGTTCTACTGCTTTTGTGACATGAAATCCCTGTGTACAATTAAATACTTTTATCTTATCAATAAACTTAAAAAGGAGACATCCCATTATAATAAGCAATACTTCCACACATCATGTGCTGTAGCAGATCACATAGGAACATCACTTATTTTATAATTTTCTGTGTTTTACAAGTCCTTGTAGGTTAAGAATGTGTATGTGCATGACAGAATAAACATCAGGTTCCTATATTTCAGTTCAAAGAGGCTTTTTATTTACATGACTATATGAGAAAGTGATGGAAACGACAGTGGCTGACAAGTATGTCCTACAATATGGAAAGTGAACCTCAAGAACTCATTATTTTTTTCAGAAAGTTCAATAAAAAGAAAAATGCAGAAAAGACAGATTGTATCGAGTTACACTATACTTGAACAGAGGCCCGTCCTGATGTAATGTCAGGACATTTGCTCTATAGTTTCACCGTTCTTTAATGAAAATAAAAAGAATTAGTTTGGACTTTTTTATCCCTTCCAAGTCTTTCCACAGCAACCGTTTTATAGTTACACTTCATCTGGCACACACTATCTGAAAGCTAAATGAAAACTGGATGTCAGTCTATAATAACAAACTCAACATGCCAGTTTTGGTAAAAGGTTATTAGTACTACTCATATGACAGAAATAAAGAATATAAAGAAAAAGAATCAAGCACAATAAAACAAGATGGACACGTTAGAGAAAACAAGAGCTGCTGAATATCTAGCCCAGCCGACGGACAAAATGTTTAAAACAGGATTCATTGACAGGTTTGTCTTCTATGTTTTAAACAGCAAGTACTACAGCAACTTTTTGGTCGGACCGGGATTGTTCATCTGGCCTGGTTCGTGACTTCAAAGCTGGCCGCCTGATCGATTATTCAGTGATGTCCTCGATGGACGTCTCTGCGCTCTGCTGCACTTCTTCTTCCACCGTCTGTTCTTCATTTGCCTCGTTGGAGAGTGTGGCTTCTAAATCACTTGTGGCTTTATTTTTGTTGATTGAACCCTTAGGGCGGCCCAATTTCCGTGGGGTTTCAGCATCACTTTTTGGGGGACGGCCCCTTTTTCTAGGGGGTCCAACATAGGGTTTAGGTGGTGAAGAAGAGGCAGGGAAATTCTTACGTAGGTGAGCGCCTTTATTGGATTCTGTCTTGCGAGGTCGGCCACGGTTTCTGGGAGGGGCCGGTGAAGTCTCCTCAGGAGGGTCGGGACGCGGGTATTTCCTGGGCCTTCCCAGCGGCTTCCATACTCGTGGCTTATTCAGCTCCTCTGGTGTCGGCCGGGGGTATTTTCTTGGTCTTCCTCTTGTGGTCGGTTCTTTTCTCGGTCGACCAATCCTCCCTTTTTTGGCGCGGCCTACCTTAACTGGCACCTTATATGCAGGGGGTTTCTTGTTTGGAGAGCCTTTTGGTCTACCCCTTCCCCTCTTTTCATCTCCGCTCTCCTGTTCAATACTTTTTCTGGGGCTTTCCCTCAACTTCTTTGAGATGCCATTTGATGCTGCCTCCACCTTCCTGGACCTATTGGGAGAGCCCGTTTCACTCGGACTCTCCGACTTGCGCTTCGTGGATCCTTTTGGTCGACCCCTATTTCCCTTCGGTGTATCAGCCTTTGCAGGGGTGCTGAGAGACTTACGTGGCCGGCCTCTTTTCTTAGGAGAATGTTCTGGTGAAGCGTCGTCTTCATCACTGGCCTCTTTCTGGGACCCTGAATCATCGGCATTGTTGTCTCCTGATCCTTGCTGCTCTGTGGGTTTAATGAGTTTTGGACGTCCTCTTCCTCTTGGGGTCTGTGGGGGTTCACCGTTAGAAATGTCCGAAACCATTAGGTTGACGTCGGTAACTACAACCTTCAGCTTCTTTGGCCTTCCCCTTCCTCTTTTAGATGGACTGTCATTGGAAATGTCTACACTAGGCTCTTCATCATTGGGCGCCACATCTTCACCTGCCGCCTCGGTCGTTATTATTTCTTCTTCCATGCTGTTGTCGTCAGCTTGGACTGCTTCCGTCAGCTTTGCACCTGTACAAAAATAAAACCAGCCAATATTTAGATAAATCAAAAATGATTTTGAGTAATACGAAGAAAGTTGTGTGATATACCAGAAGAGTTGTCATAACCAAAGACATTCTTATATTATTGCCATTCTTGAACTATGACACCAGAAAATAAATGTAACACACCATCGTAACACAGTTAGACTATACACCGCCGATAATTAGAGATGTCCCGATCCGATCACGTGATCGGGGATCGGAGCCGATCACTTGATTTTCAAAAGATCGGAATCGGGAGAAAAAAATCGGGAATCGGGATTTTTTTTTGTTTTTGTTTTTATAAAAAAAAAAAAAATTTAATTTAATGTTACAAAACAAAGATGACCATGTTCACGTCTTAAAGTCATCCTGAGGCCTTAGTTTTGGTTTAAAATTACACAACATCATGTATGTGTTGCTTCTTTTGGGCTTGTTTTCATAGACCTGGTTGCTTATTTCTCTCAAATCTGGCAACAGAGTGGGCAGGGCGCAGTGTCTAATAGTAGCAGTAAGCTAACAAGAGGCTACGTTCAGCTGGTGCCTCGGGAGTTGGGACAGAGAAAATGTCAGGAGTTTGGAAGTATTATAAAATTGAAAGCGAAGGCAGTGTAACAGCCAGATGCAATGTTTGCAAGGCGGAGGTTCCGCGTGGTGGAAAGAACAGAGCTACGTTCAACACGACCAATCTAATACAAACACCAACAACAACACGACGAGTACACAGCGGCCACTCAGGTAACGGCACTGAAACTACCGACACTTTCAGAGACTTTTAAAAGGAAAGAGAAACTGCCCCAGAACAGTGAAAAGGCCAAAAAAATAACAGCCAAGATAGCTGAATTCATCGCGTTGGATGACCAGCCGTTATCTGTTACCTTTTTTTTCTCTTAATGCATTGCATAAAGATCGGATCGGGAAAAATCGGTATCGGCAGATTGTCAAAATCAAATGATCGGAATCGGATCGGGAGCAAAAAAAGGTGATCGGGACATTCCTACCGATAATAATGGTGAGGTTTTTAATATGTTAAAGTGGACCTATCATGCTATATTTAAATGATATATTTTAGGGCCATACCTATATAAGGTATATTTATAAGTTTCTGTTTTCAAAATACCAAACAGATCATGCATTTTAGCCATGCCTCATTTCACTCTATGTGCTGTTTGCTGTCTACGGGGCTGATTCTGCTGACCACGCCCCCCTGTAGGAGAGGTGAGCCGTGCTCTGATCAGCTGCTGGGCTGTCAGAAGAGGGGGAGAAAAATAGATCTCCGTCCTCCGTGTTTTATTATATAGAGTCGTTATTCATTTGTTTTAAAGCTCAATAAATAACAAAGAAGACCTTTGACCGGCACTTTCCTAATTTTGTCCGGAAGATTTAAACTTTAACGGACATCTTGACCGGCGAAAGAAACTGAAACTCTGCCGCACGGTCCCCTCGTTCCTTGGAAGAGGCGGAGAGGTGGGTGTTTGTCATCTGCTGGTGGACTAACCGGAGAGAATTACAGTGCTTGCCTCGACGGGGAGGGATTGCATTGAATTAAAGCAGCGGGAGCAAACGCTTGCCTCGGGGAGGGAGAAAAAAAGCCACAGCGGAGAATAAACAGAAGGGTAACCATGGTAACTATGGGCGGGAAGTATTCTTTGCTGCTTTTGTGGCAGACTACAGCGCCACTTACAGGCCTGGCATATGTACTACAGCGTCTCCAGCGCTTTCGAGCGGCAATGGCCGGCCGTGGCCCAACCCCACATTCCCCTGATAGGTGGAGAGTTGGCCCAATAGCCGTAGCGCCACTTCTGTGACGTCATAGAAGTGTTCAAATCTGGATCAGTCTGTATCAGATCCGTTGCAGCCCCTTTTTTAGAGATTTGGGTATGGAGGAAAATAGAGAGGGTTGTGTTTTCTGACACTTGGTGAGTTCCCTGGAACACCGGGGACACATATTCATGTATAAAAGACGTACAAAAGTGCATTTTGCATGATAGGTCCCCTTTAAAGTATACATTTTGAAATGTGTTTCTGTATATAATGGGTAAAAACACTTAAATTAAAATCGTATTATATTTTCTATTTATAATTCAAAACATTGCCAATATCTATTAATTAGTCATGTAAAAGGCTTAACTAATCCACTTATAACATCTTTAAAATGCATTTATTTTTCCAGAAAAAAAACCTTATTATTTAAACAAAAAGACAGGGAAAAAAATAAAAATAAATACCACACAGGTGTTTATATATTTTTTAAATATTGTTTGGAATGCGATAAATACAAATTAATTTATAATTTGCGTATTATCATTTAAAGAGGAGATGGCACGGCTGCATATATTTACTGGATTACAATTATCCAACGGTGGGAAGGCGTACCGATATTAAAGGAGGCCAACAATAACATGCAAATTAAAATAAATGTGCGTACGTAGCATGCATATTTACACATCCAAACATATGCCATTTATATTAAAAAAAATGTATGAGCCTCATGTATTTTTCGCTGTACCTGAAGAACAAAACATTTGTTTAAATGTAGGGCCTTAACAGTCGCTGTGACTGTGGACTAGATTGTTTTCCAGGTAATAGTCAGCTTCAAAATCGACAGCGAAGGAAAGAGTAGCTAGCGGTGTGAAGCATAAATAAATCAGCAATTGACTGAGTGCATACCTGCAAACCTCACCTTATAGAAATCTTCAGCAGGATTGTATCTTATTTTTCATTAAATTAGTTAACCCACACAGCCCGTGAAGTAAAAGTCCGCGCGTATTGTTGATGTGATGGCTGTTTAAATTTGCGACCACTACCGGTCGTCCGAGACTTTAAGGAGTCCCTGATGGAAACAGTAGCGCAGTTTCAGTTCCGCCTTCAAAATGAATTGGATCAGGAGCTTCTTCAGCTGTCCGACCTCATATAGAAATGTAATTATTGCGCAGTATTTATTTCCTGTCGTTGTTTTTATACATTTATAATATCCTCAACAAATTTGTTTTCGAATAAACAATATTACAATATTTTGTTCTTAGTCAGTTATTCCACCGACATGGTCACCTAGTTATGCTCAGTGTGTGGGATTTTATTTATGCATTATAACGCTTTTATTGTTTCTCTATTGTTTCTCTGTTTCCATTTTATTATATATTGTGTTGTTGGTTTTCACTTCATTCCGTTCTATGTCTGTTACTGTGTGTTCAGTTTTAATAAGCTCTTTGTAACTGAGTTTGAAAGATGCTATAAGGAGGATGACACCTCTACGAAAAGACAAAATAGTACAAGTAGGCCTACATAACATAAATAACATACAATTAGTTACATCCACCATTCTGATTTGATGGTGATTCAAATATAATGTATCCAACACTTGTTTGAATAAAGTATTTGTTATAAAAACTATTTCACAATGTATGTTTTGGTTATATTAAAACTTGTTTTATATGTTGACTTCATCAAAATCTGTATGTCACATTTTACCTGAAGTGTTACGGCATACCCAGGATGTAGGATTGTTGAAGCCCCTGATTTGTAAAATACATAGATAAAAAGATAGATGTACAATTTACACATCATATTTGAAAAAATCGATTACAACCGAGTCATTTATTGAGACATAAAAAACATATTTCAGCACCCTCTGCTCACTGACTGCCTACACAGTATTAACTAATTGTTAGTGCATGAGTGTGACATTGTATTTGAAGAGCTAGGGACAGGAAACAAAGTTTCTTCTAATTACTGCACAGGTCATTTTGTTTTCTCATAAGGTCATATGTGCTCTGACACAATCAACTTCAGATACTTACATTAAAGTTTAAAGAGGAATTTATTTACATGACAATAATGAAAATGCTGATGGCTGACACAACTGCTTTAGTTTATATTGTTTAAAGCGAGACTACGCAACTCTTAATAGAATAAAGTAAAAATGTTTCAATTCAATACACCTCAGGGTTTTGCTGCAACAGACTTACATGCTTGTGGTCATACAAATCTAAAATGTATATGCGTTGTAAATTAAAAGCAACTTAATTACTTATCATCACGTATATTTAAGCAATAGCTCACGACAGGCCGTGGTATATGCTCATTATATCACAGCTAAGGGGCGTGGTTCGGCCCGACGCGAAGCGGAGGGTCGACAACCCCCTGCAAAACTGCAAAACTGCAGGCAGTTTGCTTTTCGGCCCAACTGTATACTGTTTATCTCAGACGCGGAGGGTTACTGAGTTGTTGTGAAAAGTAACTTACAATTCTACCCGTGGTATACGCTCAGTATACCACGGCTAAGAACCAATCAGATTGCTTGATTTTACTTGTCCGTTTTATAAATATATATATATATATATATATATATATAAATAGTTTTCAAACGTCATATCACATGGAAAGTCTAAGTAGAACAAGTAGCTTAAAGTTGTACTTAAGCAATACAAATGATTAAAGAAACATACACTTGTTATTTTCCAACATTTAAACAAGCTTAGACAATAAAGTTGTAAGAATAAATATCCTTGATAAGAGTTTCAAAAGACTCACACGACATAAGATAACTTTATTGATCCCTTAAGGAAAACAATCACAGCAGGAAAACGTTGATTCATGCTTGTTACCTTTACAAACTAGAATAGGCCTAATGCTGCATACAGTTTATATCCTAAATACTATTTACTTTAATATTACATGTATGATTGTGGATCCGTCTTCGATCAGTATCAATTTAAACTGAGTTTACTAATTGTTTTAGCTTCCTCATGTCTTTCCTGTGCTTCTCCACAGAGGGGAACCACATTGTCCAAGAAAGAAAATATATAGGAAGAAAAAGACCTAGAACAAAAGGCAAATCAGAGGCAGATTATGTTGCAGAGGCTAGTTGGATAAGGGGGTGGAGTTTGAGGTAAGGGCAGATTGATGAGGTCAATAAGAAGAATGCAAGAGAAGAGAAAGCAATATGCAAATGGTGTTTATATGACTGTGAGGAGAGCCAGAGAGGCTGTTGGTTCAAAAGGGGGAGAGGGAGGCTGAGAGAAAATGACAGACGTGGCCGGAGGAAAGGAAAGGAGCGTTTGAGAAAGACAACTCCTGAGAGACGGCGAGCTGAACCCGCTGCCCCGACTCACCCCCCCTCCTCACCCCAACCCCTCCCTGTGTGCTTTGCCATGGTTACCAGACAGGGCTCCCAATGCAGCTAATGTGTTTTTCAGCGGCAGGAGCGAGCTGGGTACTAATGTGTCTCAGTCTGTCTCCTGCACAATCAATGTCAACTGTCCTGGGATGCACAAACACATGGAGGGGCTGAGAGCCAGGGAACACTGAGCCCCCTGGCTGAGAGTCAGGGCCACACACTGAAAGAAGACAGCTCTAGCTTTGTTAAGCAGTCAAAAAAAATTGACTTGTTTTTTGTGTTTTGTGTAGGAGCCAGATATTAAATTGATGATTACTTAATTATCTCACATTTAATCTGATTTGAAATCAAAAATGTATTCTACACCGCTTACAAACCCCAAAACGCCAGTCAGGCCAGTAATAGAAAAACAGCTGATCATGTTTTATTTAAATCCTTCTCAATGTCCTTTTCAGTATTTATTGGGTTTACATGGTATATCACAAAAACAACATGTTTTTACCATTTGTTGCATTTTATTGACATATTTTCATCAGAAAGAGAAGATCCAGAAGGTGCAAATCATTCATCCATAAAAATCATAAAAATGTAAAGCTGCAACAAGCTGTTGATTCATTAATTAGTAGATCAAGAGAAAAACTACTTTGCTAGTCAATCCTTTAGGTTTCACTTTTTTCTGACATCTTATAAGGAAAATTATTAATAGATTTATTGAGAAAATAATCAGCAGATGGAGCCCTGTGAAAATTCACACTTTTTAACCAACATATTCCCTGTCAAAATCCAACAAATGAATAGGCATCAAGGTGATGACACTTGTTCTCTTGAAGACACGTCTTGGATGTCGTTGATTTTAAAATCCGATGTGAGTCATACATCGGGGTCATGAGCCTTGGCTGTCTTTTTATTGAACCGTGTAAGTGTTCATTGCACAAAGCCAGCCGAAAGGTACTGCCCCCTCCAGAGAACCACGTAGTCTCCTCCTGGCTTTCCATGATGTCTGGAACATTTCGGGAATTCTCTCCGGATGAGTTCCTTCAGTCGATACGGCTCTGCAGATGATTTTTCCTATGTTTCTCTTAATCTTATGATTTATAAAAAGTCCATGCCCCCAGATGCAGCTGCATGCGACTTTGTTCCCAAGGACCTCACCTGTGACCTTTCACATCATCACAGGTTAAGGGTCTCAGGGACAATGAAGCACACGCCAGACAAACAGCTGATCAATCAGCTGATCAATCAGCCTCGTCTGCAGGTGAAATCCAACTCAATGTCTTTTCTGTAAACTGTGAAATTATAACATGAAAAAGATCCCATGACGTATGTTTGTGTGTAAATGACATATTGGTCTATTATTCATTATGTTGTTCGTTAGCTTAAAGAGATACATTTTGACATTGAATCAACATTTCAACTAGAGACAGATACATCTCATCTTATATTAAAATAAAAATAGGCCGTTAATGAGTGACAGTGCCTACATCATATTGGCTGGTTACCGTTGTTTGTTAATCGATGCAGTCCGACTGTTTCGTCTCGACACGTCTTCACAAAATGGATTGCATCACATCCTGCGGAAAAATACATATTTAGTTAGGGTACATTGTAAACCATAAAATATCAATTCTCGTTATTTATCCGTCGCTCCATCGTCGCGGCCCGTTTACCGTCCGTCCTCCTGACATAGCCAGCGCCTTTTATCCAGTGCAGGTCTGTGCGGTTAGACATTCAAACGAAATGCCCCCTGCTGGCAGACAGATAGACAAAGACACATGTACGCAGAGGAAAATCCTCAAATTCTATGTATAAATCTGGATTTTGCATTTGGGATGAGCAAACGGCCTGTATGAGCGTTAAGCCCTGACCAAGCAGTCATACATTTCACAAACACGCAGACACTCGACTTTCCGCTTATGCATATGCATGAAACATCCACAGACAGCTGTGCCCGGAGCCGCAGACAACACTGTCGTCTTATATTTCCTACAGGCCCTGTGATCTCACAGGATTATGCAATCACTCCCCCGTGACAAAGATGTTCAGCCTTGAGGGAGTTACACTGATTTACTCTTCACCAGACAAAATAAATGCCACACAAGCCTTACACTGCAGATGCCACATGAAGAATATGAGCCAGGGTCCAAATAACTGGTAAACAGCTGAAACGCAGCTTTTGCATCACATGCAAGTCTTCATCGTCTGCCAACGAACCAGAACAATCCATTACTTACTAAATCTGTCTGTGGCCAGGTGCGCACACATGCAGACAAACATGCGACTCCACAAAGGCACACAGAACATGAAACATTTGGCTGCCAGTGTGAGAAATCTGACTGCTTCTCTGTTTCCTCTTTGTCTCTGTAAGATGTTTTCCTCTGTCCCAGTTTCATGAGCTCCACTGCTGCTCCGAAAAGCACCGGAGACAAAGACCAGAGGATAAAAACCAGAAGCTAGAGAGAGAATTAAGATAAATGTTCTCATGTAAAAAAAAATGACCTTAGTCTAAAAAGAATGAACATGAAGATAGACACAAATGAAGGAAAGATGGCGGGTGGACGTGGTCAGTCGAATAGCTTGTCTGGATTTGTTAGCCGGCCCATTAAGTCATTCTGAACTCACCGTCTGCCCTTTCCGACACACACAAACATTTGTCCATGTACACAAAACAGGTACTCATGCACACACATGCACACACACACACACACA